TTTTAATTATTTCCTTTATTTTTGCAATCGTTGGTCGTAATCATATACTTCCAGTTACAGAATAATGAAGAAAATATTCATATTTGGGCAAAGTCAAATTTCCAAATATATATGTATATATGTGTGTAATATTTTTGAAGCATAGAAGAGGAATCAGCTTGCAGTCGTTGTTGCTTATGGCGAAGACTTACTGGTGAAGGTAACAAAACATGAACTTGAAGACTTTCCAGTCTTTATTTTCACGCATATAAAATCATCTCCGTAGATATTTATCCAATCATAATGAAATCCGATACATTTTTATGATTCAATTATAATGAAATATGATAAATTGCTATATACTTTGGTTTCTTAAAATTAATACGCAGCCATTTCAATGAAGCGAAGCGGGAAAATAGTATTAGCAATGCAAAAGCTAGCAGAATGATACCTGGTTCAGAACCTCTGACTTAAGATATTCAAATCTTCAAATCTCACACTAATGTTGTGGAAAATTTGAAATTCAACAGCCGACGCTAATACGCCATTAAAATTCTGAGCCTTTAGGCAAGTAGGACAATTTGCGAGTTTGAGATTTCAACTTTGTTATAATATTTCAGACGAAGCAATAATTTAGTTTAATAGTGTCTGAAGAATCTTCAGTTATTTCTACAGAATTAGCACACTATAACCTAAATAACAATAATAAATAAATAAATAAATAAAATGGAAAAAACAAACACACATCTAGCAGAAGCGTTCGTTAAACTAAAAAAATCTGGTGTGGACATCCCATGACGTTCTTGTACGGTCTATTAAGTTACACATTTTTATTTATTTATTTATTTATTGGTTGTTGTTGTTTTGTTTTTGTGTACTTCATTTAAATTTATTTCCTAAGACAAGTTGAAAATTTTATCCAAAATTCATTATTTGGCCAAAATAATTTTTTTTTTAATTTGGCATTGCTAAAACGTGAATATTTTCGTTGTTTAAAACACTTTTGTAACTGGAAGTGTATAATTACGACCACTAATTGAGAAAATAAAGTCCGGGTAAAAATATATATATATATATATATATATGTCATAATAAAAACACAAGGAAATGACGGAGCAGTGTAGATGCGTGCTTAGATCCATATTGAAGAAGAATTTTGATTGCGTAGTATGCTAGTAATGCTAACTTGGTAACATCTAAAGAACTTGGCAGTCGAGGCAGTTTTAATTCCATTTTTATTTCCAATTGATATTTGTGGCCACAATCACTTGGCACTCTAGTCGTGCCTTCCACAGAAGATTTACATTTTCGATATTGTTGGGATAGAAAGCAAGCCAGCGAAATCACATCTTAGCACAGTAGCGAGCAAAAGCTGAAGTGCGTCGCTATGCAAGATGGAACACGCGAAGAGAAAAGTTTCGGTTTACAATTTGGTGATTGGTCGAGAGGGATCTGCATTATGGGTTAAGTAAGATCGCATGATTAATTTGAATGACGCAGTTTAGACTTAAGCGCTATTTTTAGGACAGATAGAGGAAGTTCTCAAATGAAATAGAAAATAATGGAAGTTATAGTGAATTAAGTTTAGAAGTTTGCCTTCATATTTTTTATCTTACATATTCCCCCCTTCAAAAAGAAAAAGGCGTAGCGACAGAGAAGCCTTTTTAAAGAAAAAGAGTTAAAGCACAAGCAAATTTAAAAAAATATAAATTAAATAATAAAATTTTGATCCTGTAAAGTATTATTTATAAATATAATTTTTTTTAAAAATAGATTCTTAATTTTTAGAGTCCTATTGAATTTTTCAACATTTCAGTCCAAAAGTCTTTTTGTTTGAGAGTTCACATAATCATAATTCTTCAGGGAAGGTTCTTGTTATCGCAGAATATCACAAAATAAACTTTTACATAATCATTACTTATAATTTAATGTAATGCACATAAATATTTATGATACTTATTTCTATACTGATAAATTATAATTTAACATGATAAATAATAGGATTAAGATTTTCAGAATTTATGGTTTCACCGTTATCTTTCATTTACAATTCCTGATTTTACCAAACTGGAAGCCTCGCAATACTTCTAAACAAACATATCCATCAATAGGGCTGTCCTCTTGAGCTAACCAGTGTGTTCTCTGCACTGGTGGCCCAGGGTGCCTAGGCAGTTACTTGAAAAGACCTCCGTTCCTTGTATTGTAACTGGCCTTTGAGAACTGCATTAATACATTCCATAATAAAAAAAGTATAATAATAATAATATAAAAAATTTACATGCATTCATAAAATGAGAGCCTCCAACATTATCTTGCATGAAGAGGATAAAAGGAACAACTGTACAGAGGTAATTACACGCCTCTGTTGAAGGAACCAGTACACCCTCATCATACTATACTTAACACACAATAACCCATAAATTTTAACATGCATTTACCATAACTTCATATTACATATCTGTAATAATTTCACTTATTTTTTACACCTACTTCATTTTTAGAATAATTATAAAATTTGTATTCAAAATTCTCAACAAAATTTCAAAAACATAAAAACTTAACTTATCTTAATATCCTTCCCTATGAATAATTTAAATAGCTTAAAATTCGTTGCTTAATTTGCTCACACATAATTATGAAAAATTAATGAACAAGAATTTCAGATTTTCTCAAAACAAATTGCAGAAATTTTAACCAATGTTGAAATGAAAACTATAGAATTCGCAGCACATTAAATAATTTAGTTCCTGAGCTAAGTTCACACGAATGTAATAATTTTTGAGCTGTTGAAAAAGCAGAAGTGCAAATAATTTTCTGTCGCAAACACTAACTCAGATCGACCTTGAACCCGCTGTAATGCTGAATTCCTAAACGTTAATTCACTGATGATTTCCTTTTCACTAGGCATTCGAACTTCTCAATTTATCGAGAGATTACTTTCAATCTGTAAACACTACGCGTGATTATTCTTTTAAAGCACTTACAAAACACCACAGCAGAAGAATGATCTGTTATTTTTAAACACTGAAAAAACTAATTTGATGATTCACCTCTTTCACATTATCTTGGATTTATCACAAAACGATGATTTGAAGAGCTGAATTAAATTTTTTATTGAGGTTTCAGGCTGCAGGAAACTATCCTTACCGGCTTAATTGTCATATTAAAAGCACAGGAAACGACGGAGCAGTGTAGATGCGTGCTTAGATCCATATTGAAGAAGAATTTTGATTGCGTAGTATGCTAGTAATGCTAACTTGGTAACATCTAAAGAACTTGGCAGTCGAGGCAGTTTTAATTCCATTTTTATTTCCAATTGATATTTGTGGCCACAATCACTTGGCACTCTCTCTAGTCGTGCCTTCCACAGAAGATTTACATTTTCGATATTGTTGGGATAGAAAGCAAGCCAGCGAATTCACATCTTAGTACAGTAGCGAGCAAAAGCTGAAGTGCGTCGCTATGCAAGATGGAAACACGCGAAGAGAAAAGTTTCGGTTTACAATTTGGTGATTGGTCGAGAGGGATCTGCATTATGGGTTAAGTAAGATCGCATGATTAATTTGAATGACGCAGTTTAGACTTACGCGCTATTTTTAGGACAGATAGAGGAAGTTCTCAAATGAAATAGAAAATAATGGAAGTTATAGTGAATTAAGTTTAGAAGTTTGCCTTCATATTTTTTATCTTACATATATATATGTATATATATATGTATATATGTTTGGTACTGCCGAGCAGGTTCACGGGTAGATGTTATAGCAGTCCCATATACAAAATTTCAATGCTCTACGGCTAATTGTTTTTGAGTTATGCGATATACGTAGGTAGACTTTTGTAACATATATGACGTCATAAAAAGATTCGTTTTGAATCCATTTTGCAATCTGTTTTGGAACAAAGAGTTCTTTACGTACAGATAGATGTCACGCAAAACAATATTCAAAATGGATTCGGGAACAATCAAATAGGTTTTTTCGTTGAAATCACATAACCGAAATTTTTCCCGATTACAATACTTTACAACTGTATTTGTAATTTGTTTCGTATAAGAACATAAAAATACCATTTTTGCTATTTGAACGGAGATAACTCACGAGTATCACTTCACGACGTGCCCTGAGTGACGCCTGCAACTTTATGGAGAGAATTTAGCGTTGTCTATTTCTTTTTTATCTAGGTTATTTCTTGAAATATCCTTCTACACTTGCTTTGATTTAATAAATTTCTGGAGGGATTTTAAAGAAATAAATACTACTTTTTATCAAATTATATTGAGAAAATGAAACTGATTCGGGTGTTTCAGTAGTTAGTCAAGTTGTTTTTAAAATTTCATTGTACTTTCTCAATAAAAAATGAGTGAGTTTTAGTAACTGTATTTGTAATTTGTTTTCTATTAAACGAAGATTTGAAATTTGGGTTCAATTAAAACTTTACATATTTAAACAAAATATTTTTAACCCTTCTTATTATTTTTCTTATATACAGGGTTCGAGAGATTCGAGAATTCATAGAGTCTTCGAATATTCGAATTTTGATTCTAAGATTCGCCACACCTCTACTATTTCCAATTGATTATATATCTTTTAGTATTTTAGTAGATATGTATATTTTTGTATTTAGGATTTGTAAAATTTGCAATCAACTCAATTTGTTGCGCACTAGTACTATCATTTTAATTAAATAAATGCATGCCTGTAGTTTAGCTTTTACAAAGAAGACGATTGCGTTTAAGTCTCTTTTGCTATTCTCTGTTTCATGCGCTTGGAAATAACGTTAATAAAATAACTCTCGGCGGACTATTGCTGAAGCGTTGAACCTTTGTTCTATTTTCTCTCAAAAGAAATTGCTATTTGTTGCGCTTTTTCTCTTATTAAAAAAAATACTTTTTTATTCACTGTGTAGTTTAGATGGTTTGCATATGTGAATGAATGTACTTTTCTTTTAAATGTCATGTTGTGCTCGCACTAACTACTGTTTTTCTCTCTCTTCCTTTTCTGTTTGTCCTTCCTTCCTTTTAGTGAGTGGCACATCAACTGTGAGCGACCCCGCAGCGGCACTCACTCCCCCTACACCCACTTCTCGGACCCCAAGTATGTTTCTTTCTTTCTTTTTATCCTTTGCATTCTTTTCAATTTTCCTCTGCCTGCTGTTGTTCATTGTTTCCCAAATCAAAGCGTATTTCGTGAACAAAGTATTGATGGAACATTCGAATCACCGAATCCTCGAATCTCGTGAACCTTAAAAAAATAACAAGATTCAAATAAATTAAATTCTTGCGCCTTTCCCGTCTTTCAAATCTTTTGAGTCCTATGATAAAAACGCATTAAATATTCTAACTTAAAATTTAGGAGATATTGGTTCTACTGATGTTTAAGAGAAGAATTTATTAAAACAAGAGAGCAACTATTCAAATTTCAGTCGGCCTGGATTGCCAGTATCAGTCTGTAACTGCCCCTAAGGGCCATAATTGCCAGTAGTATCAGTCTGTAACTAATATGACCTTAAGAGCGATATTAGTGGTTATCTGAGTAAAACTCTTGAAATATTTTTCTCCCCTTTACACTTGTTTTGATACAAAAATATTCTCGAAGAAATGTAAAACTTTTGAAATATTATCCAAATATTTTATTAAATTATACTAAGTAAAAGATCCTCAAAACTCAAACATTTTAAAAAGCAAATTTGTTAAATATAATTTGTTAAAAACTATGTAATGAACTATGTAATGAAATGGTTATTGCTGGCAAAAATTTTAATTCAGATCAACAGCTTCCCGCAAATGTGCATACAAATTTGGCAATTATCCGTTAATACTCGTATATTCCAGGCCCTACCTGGCTAAGTACTAAGCATCTGGTACAAATCTAATGAGAAATTCATAGCAAACAAATTAAAATCACAAAATATGTCGCAAAGAAATTGAATAAATCAAATAACGCAGCAAAATAATCGAAGTCTAACTATCAATAAAAATTGTCGAGATTTTTGTAAACTGTAATCATTGTGGAAATACTCTCCATTTTAACATTGCAAGTATGGAATTGATTTAATTAGTGCACTCAATTTGAAATTCCTGTAGATCTGGTCAAATCCGTTAATCGTATTTTCACCTGTGAGATTTCTTAAAATAACACTAAAGTATTTCTAAGAAGAATAAATTCTATAATTTACATTTGAATCAATGAATGAGTAAAAAGACCAAGACGAAATAATAAATGTATAATAGCTAGCGAAACAATACATTCTTATACTTTTACTTCACAAACCCGTAGGAGTCGATAAGGAGTTTTATATCTCCTTCTGCCTAACTTGGTTGAAAATTCCTCCATTATTGCATCAGAATCACTAAATTATTTTTTTCCATAAAAATATGTTTAAACAATCTCACTTTTCTTAATCATTACAATAATATGTAAAATTATAAAAGCAACATGCTTGTTTTTGGCATGAATTTTAGTCATGACTCGATTTCGAGGGCAAACTGGTGCAAATCCATCTGCGTCAGAAGCAAAGAAATCTGAAACGAAGAAAAAGCCACGATGATACTTATGGTCGCCGCTTTTTCGGATGGCCCAAGCTTTCCTTTCCCCATCGATGACGAATAGCTGATACCTTTGCACTTTGTAATCGATTACGATGTCTCGATACTTTGTTTACGTTTTATGCGGAATTGTGGTAAGGTTGCATATGGAAAATCTTGCCGAATTGGATAAGAGCCGCTCTTCATATGTAATTTTTTTTCCTTGCTGTATACGAGAGTGGACGCAGTACGAATAAATCTCTATGCTACAGTCAATTATTTCCATTATTCGAATTAATTCATCGTGAGAACTTTAAAAGTCTTAATAAACAGAAAACTTACTCATATTGCTGATACGAAAGTATTGATATGCTTTGTTCAATTCTCTTGTTAATAAAAAAACAGCAATTGTGCATGTAATGACAGTAAAAAATAGTGAAAATTTATTATATGTCTGTATTGTTGCCTAAGTAGTAATAATGCATGATTATAAAATAAATATTAGAACTACTGAAGTAATAATTACATATGTTAGAACACAAGAAAAGAATCTGAATTTTTATTTATTTCAATGACCCGTATTTTCTTTTATTATGTTCACAGAGTTCTTTTTTAAGTTTCCTCCAAACAGCAGAGATGCGTGTCCTAAATTTTGTACTGAACAACACAAAATTATATTCAAAGAAAAGAAATTCATAAATTCTGCATTATCTAGTATTGCTAGTCAAAAAAATCATGTTTTCCATTTCCCCACATCGAAAAATTATACTGGGGGGGGGGGAGAAACCACTTCATTTGGCATTTGATGTTTTATATCAATAAAAATCCCATGGTTTTAACCATTGATTCTAATTTTAATCCCTCTTCATTGTTAGCTTTTAAGGAAATTTGCTTCTTATTTGCATTTTGGTCTCTTTCTGTCTATAGTGGTATTAAGGATTTGGTTTTTATCATTTAACCATACTCTTCAGTTTCTTTCTGTTGCTTCTCTTTCCAAGTGTGCATGCCGTGCTGAATGCATTATTTCAGATTCAAAATGTATAGACAGAGAACAGTACCAGGACGACAAAAGTGGTAATTTAACAACATAAATAACATTGGTATCAATTATCCGCTCCCTAAGACAACCACTTCCATAGAAAAATTTTTATAGCAGCTGTGTCTGGCTGTCTTGCAGACAGTTCATTGTATTTTGTGATTTAAAATTTATTAGCTCGTTATAATACTGATGCAATTTAAAGTTTTTTTTTTTTTTTAGTTAGTTCAAACAACCCATGTTACTGATCAAAAAGTAGTATCTTATGATTTATGGTCATATTATTAAAAATTTCAAAATGGCTTTTGGAAATTTTCCTCCTTACACAATGATTTGCAGTTCGGCAAAAAATCTTTCACAAGTTGGTCTTACTATGGGCTAGTATTGAATTTTGTTTCCGAAAGGATAACGAGTAATTTTGTTTAGAGTTAAAAATCATTTCTATGGTATATGTACATTTTTTTAGTTTTTAATATACTTCAGAAGTTCCTTTTCTTATGCCATAAGGCATGTGTAAAATAAGCTTATTTCCTTGTATTATTATCATTAAGCTATCCAGAAGAAGCCTTTCTGACAACTGATCACTGAAACTTATGCCGTACCTTCCTGTTAATTAGAAAATAATTTTGGATAATAAAATAAGTATATTAGAAAAGTATTATATTATTGAAACATTTTAAAAAATATATTAAATTAATGTATTAGAAATCTCTGTAATTTAAAGTAAGCTTTCGTTCTTCAACTACATGTCCATTTCCGATACCCAAAGCCTAATTCCATCATAATAACTTATCTTTTACCCGGTTATTATTCAGCGAAACCTTTCTATTTGAAAATTCTGTATCAGCTTTGTAATAAAGGCCCAAGATACAACCTCCACCACCTGTGAAATGCATAGCTTTGTACAGGATCTCTGTGGCTGTTACTGGAAGGCACTAAATAGGCTTCCTTATTCTCTGTTTGTTATTTAGTGTGTGACATATTTTTGTGTATGTGTATTTGATAGTGTGTACATATATATATAATTTTGTCTACCATTGGAAATAAAAATATATGCATTACACAAATCTGAAATCTGACATCAAGTTATTAACCTTTCGCAAAACATTTCAAATTAAATACGGCTGTTTACACCTTTGTTTTTGTCGGCATTAATTTCTCTAACTAATTTAAACATGAGGTTGTTTAAGGCCATTTTTTATCCATTCATTTATTGAAATATTTACATTTACTTTTTTTTCCCATTAGATAATCCATGAATTTTATATATGTTACAATATATGGTATAGGCTTGTATATATGCAATATGAATTTTTTTTTTTTTTTTAATTTTCCAAAAGAAAAGAAAAATTTTATCTTCTATTTATGATCTCATTATCGGATTGTGTTATAAGGTATTTCTCTTGCCTTCGTAGCATGTCTATATGATGAGCACACTCGGCACATATTCGAGAGGTCCATGGTTCGAGTCGTGGAGAGGGCATTGCTTGTTTTTCACGTTTCTCAGCTTCCAAAAGAATCCTAATGTCTCTACATTTTTTTCTTCAAAATAAACAAATAATCTGATGGAATTAAAATATTTTGGTCATTAAAACTTTTTAATCACTGCTGTTTACATTTACATTTCTTTTTTCACATAATTTGAAGTTTCCAAGTAGTTTGAAGGTTTTCAAACTATGTTTCAGAAAAACTTTAGATCTTATGCAACTCCTCTGCAGCATCTTCAAGTCAAAATCAAAATTTAAAACTATTTTTAATATCACTGAACATACTTAAAATAAAGAAATATTTTTTATTCTATTGTTATTGTTACAAAAAAAAAACAATATTAAGCAGATCTGTTTTTATGATTAAAATTATAATGAAATAATGATTTTCTTTTCACTTTCTGCATAAAATGCACAAATTTTATATTTTAATTCTTTTTTAAAATTTATTTTTCTGAGGATGGAAATGCTTCTCTCAAAAAAATTACAATTTTAGAGTTTTTTCTGAATTCACAGATTTGAAGACAGTTAGATAGAAAAGCTACAATTTTTGAAATGGATGAATAAATACAGCCCTGGCTTTTGTTATGTTTTATGCATTTAATAAATTTCCACCCAACCGTTTATTCTTTAATTCTACCTAACACAATTAATGGATACTTGTTTCTAATATAGAATTTTAGCATCAGTTCTACATAATAACATTAGTAATCATTTTTTTAATTTAATTTTATCATTATTAACAAAATGCTTTGGCACTAAGAACTGAGAATTTTTTCCTTGACTTTTCTCTTTCAATACTTTAGGAACTGGTCATTAATTTACATCTATAATAAAAGAAATAAATGCTTGTATGAGTTTTAACATATTGTTAAAAATGCAATAAACCTCAGCTCCTTTGTTGTATGAATAATGTGAAACTCCCTGTTAAGTATTTTTTTAACATCTTCTATGGAACAGTATAGACTCCATGATTATTCCTTAAAATTGGAAGTATCAGAAATAGATGTAAATATGTATTGTCTTCTGCATTAACTTAACAAAATAATAGTGTGAATATCTGAATGGAATTATATGAAAGAAGCTACAGGACTCTATGTTTTCACGATGGTCATTCCGCTATACTGGAAATATTAAATCAAACAATAAGTGCACGAAAAGATTCAGTAAGAGGATATACTCTCTTCTGTAGCAATACATTTGACTGCAGTTGTTCCATATGATATTTCTATACAACATCCCAAAATCTTGGTAAATAACTTTCTAAACCAAGTTTACAGTGGAAAAAAAGTAGTGGAAAAATGTCGTAGTCATGTAACTGGGCTACCATACATAAAAATTAAGCAGTGTTACAAGTGTTTCTATCTTAACTGCCTGTTACAACCAAATAACTAGATATGAGAAAGGACATGCAGTGTCAGTACAGCTGGATGATCCCTTTTACAGAGTTCCTAATTTGAAAACAAATTAACCTGTAAAACTACCCTTCATACTGGTTTGCTTTAGATTCATTTGGTAAAAAATATGCCATTAAAGTCTGTACCAATCAATCAATAAACCTTGTTACAAGCAAGTTTTTGTTTGCAGGATGCTGTTCATAATTGGTTTTTTTTTGGTGGTATAGCAACAGCGAAGGAAGAAAGATTCCGGATTATTTAAATTCAACTAACACAGCAATTTCCATTCTTCTGTAACTTTATAATTTGACACAGCTTTATTTTTTAGAATTTTATTCATACTACTATTTCATCCATTGCAGACAAATTCCACAAGTGCATATTTTAAAATTAATTTCACATTTAAAAAAGCATGATTTGTTTATAAATGATTTGTTATAAAAATAAAAATTAGTTATAAAAATCATTGTAACTTAGACAAATACATACAAAAAAGGGAAAATAAAAACATAAAAATGGGGATGCTGCTTATTAAAAACTGAAGAATTGTTATATGCACATACACATGGTTGACACAGTTTGGTGCATCCTGCGAAATTTGTTGTGGTAATATGGTAGCAAAAAAAAAAAATTGTATTAAAATTATTAAGGTGTTGATGGCTATGCTAAGTTACACAAAACAAGGTAACGTACAATAAGAGCTATGTACCTTAGGTAAAGGGATGCCTTTGAGAAGGTATTTCTATGAGAAATTGACTTGTATTCACATAATACATGAGGAGAAACAGGAAAATTCCCATGCAGCTATCTTATCTGCTAGTCTACTGGCGCCAGTCAAAATAGACAGTAATGTAATATTATACAAGCTAAGTAGCATTGACTTATACATCACTAAAGAAATAAATACACTACAGAAAACTTTCCTGTTTTCCGAAAGTGTCAATATCTTCATTATTATAACTTCCTGATATTTCAATGCATGTAATTTTATGGTGAACTATTAACTTAAACAGAATATTTTTTTGAATTGGTTGTGTTTAATTATAAGATTATTTTGAAAATTGTTGTTCCTGATAAAACTAAAGAATGAATTTTCTTTACACACTGACTGTTATTATTATATTTTAAATCAACAGATTGCAATTATACAATAAGACAGAATGAAAAATACAGTAGTCATTGAGGCAATTGTTGAGTTTCTGAAGAAACAATAACAATTTTCAAATCTAACACAGTATACCCTGTTTAATGTGTAATATAGTATGTTTAATATAGCATAGTTTTGTAAAGCATCAGCTATTTATAAAAAAAAAGTATGCAATAGCTGACGATGAAACCAAATAAAAATCAAACAGAACTCTATTACACGTTATGCAACAAAATTAATGAATATGAACGCCTATAATTTTTTTTTTACTTGGACCAGATCTCGAACCATCAACTAGATATTAGGTAATAAAATTAATAAAAATTTATGTTGATAAGTACTTAAGAACAAATAGAACAAAATGGCCAAACTTTTAACTAGGTAACCAAATAAAGCGTTTACGTTCTAGACGATTTTATTTACTTCACATACATTATCTTTACATTTACTTTCATAACTTGTATCATACATAACATATTCTTATCATCGAATGATTTTCTATAGTAAGCAAATTATTTTAACAGTTTCTAATTCGTGTCTGCAATGTATTCCTTTAAATTGCAAGGTTTCGCGATATTCATTTTCCTTCTGACAAAGTTCACACACGAATACAAAACATTAAAACTTTCGTAATCGATAAACAACGCCTATTTCATTATCGATGACATACGTCTGCCGATCGATAGTAAAAGGAAAGTTTGGGCCATCCGAAAAAGCGGCGACCGATACTTATACCCAAAAGGAGTCAAGCGAACGAAAAGGTAGCGTCATCTATCGGCAGAAATAGTAACGAAAGCGAAAAATTAAGTTAATAGAACGTTAAAAGCGTTAGGAAGGACTGGATTAAAAAGAAAGTCATTAACGAAACAAGATGAATCTTTGTCAATGTGAAAACTTTAAGTAAATTCAATGCACTAATGGAAGAAGACTTTTGGATAATATTTGCAAACCCAAAATGAAAGGTATGATTAATCTGGCAACTATTATTGATTGATTAGATATCGAACTTCATTAACAAGATCTTTAAAAACGAACTTGAATGAATTTGATTAGCTATCGAAGACTTGTTGATTTCTCCTTTTCGGATATATATTTCGTGTTTCTTGATGCGAAACTTTATTGCTGTTTTAGTTTGGCCGATATAAGGCATACTGACATGATATGCTATAAATTCCTCAAGAAGTCAGAAATAGAATCTTCAAGAACGAAGCCATGGATTTTATTGATAGGCTAGAAAATGGCTTGAAAAACTGAATTTCTGAAGAATTCAGAAATCATTTCTTTTCAATATAATCCATTCCAATTCAATTCTTATCCAGTCGTATCTGAGACTTGTAAAATTTTATTAACTTAATTTTTCAATTGTCTTTACTATTTCTGCACACAGATGACACAACATTCTCGTTCATCTTTACCCCTTTTTTGAGTGTAAAGAGGTTATCACATCTAGCGAAGGCCCCTGCTAGACGGGACTTTTCTGAAGAACGAGATTCTGGTAGCACTGGTTTAAGCGGAAGGATTCCTAGAAAGAACAGCTTCGCTTGAAGGTAAGTCCCGCCTAGCTACGGAAACAATGTACCGGCTAGCTACGCGGGATTTTTTTTTTAAACCTCTCCGAAAATATTTCGGCTGCAGCTCAGTCCCGGGTGCATATTTCACAAGTGCACATCTGTGTAGCCACCGAGGGAGTGGCTTCTAGGATGAACCAATGAGCATTCAGTAATATTTCTGTCATGCCACATAACCTTTCGCATGCTTTAAGATTAAGCAACATGGCTGAAAATATTCCGCCACGCAATTTTCTGATCAAAATAATGAAAGCATTGTCGATTGCTTCTGAAACTTTTCATTGCGAACTTAAATCAATTATAGGAATTTCTGATGATTTCGCTACCTGGTTGAAATAAATGCAAATACAATTTGGATACTTCGCAAAAATATCGATGTGAAATATTACTTAATAAGTGGTAAATAAAATGAAGAAAGAAATACGTGATAAAGATCTGAGCCCAAATGCAATCTTTACATAAAACTATGCGTATGAGAAAAATATTTACACCAATTATATATGTAAATAGAAGTCAGCACTTTTTATTGCAGTCTATATGAAAAAGATGTTCTGTAATAATAACCAATGCAGAATTTTATTCAAAGTGAACTTTACTAATTTGCATTCGAGTACATTTAGTGTGTTAAATTTGTTAAATTTCACATTTAATAACTGCTAACTCTTAAATGTACTGTCTACACAAGAAATACTCATGAAACAGAGTGAATTTATTGTATTCCCAACGAGTATATTCAATTTATTCACATGTAATTTTTAATGTTAACAATGGATATAATCAGATCATATGTATTCTGAATCTTACACTTTAATATCAAAAGAATTCAAGCACTGAAATAAGAATTAACACTAGATTCATAGTGATACTTTCAGTCATTCTAAGCTCAATTAAAAAAAAAAAAATATGCACTTGAATTTTCTTAATCCACATAATATGCCGAGAACGTCAATCCTAATATTAATGCGTGATAAAAGTCGCGAAAGTGAAATGTCAGCCATTAATCAAATTTAAAAAAACGAAAGCACTACGAGATTTTTTCCTATTACGCCATATATTTATAACTGCGAAACAAATGCAAATAAAACGTGAACAACATACGCGCACATGCAACGAAGATTTAGCGTCAAAAGAGCAATAGCAGCTAGCTCATTGGTCCATTTTTGAAACCCCTCCCTCAGTAGTTACGCTGATGTGCACTTGTGAAATATGCGTCCCGGGTAGAGATCAACCAATCAGACGAAAGTTCTGCTTCTGAAAGATCACGTGATGTCAATCTGAGCGATAATCGATTACTGTTTGGCGTTCAAGTCTTTGTAGTTAGTGAAAATGGTAAGTTATGTGGGTTTCCTGGAACTGTGCGGATTCTGAGAATTGTCCCTTTCGACGTCAAGTCCCTCGTAGCGGAAACATAATGTAATTGGGACTTAAGTACTACCGTGGCTTTCCCTTCGTTGTACATGACCTTAATCTCATAGTCCAACACATTAGGATTCTTGTTTTATTTCTCAAACCTAGAAGCAAATGTTCTCCTGTCTTCCACATTTGTTAAATTTTATCTTCTGGGAATCTCACTCGATGCATTTTTACGTGAAGTGCCTTTAGGGCATACTGCGAAATTCGCAATATCGCGGCATATCACGGCCAATACCTTCGTTACAGATTTCTTTGTTTCTGATAAAGAATGAACTGTACCTGATCGCTCTCGAAATCTATAGAATATTGACTGAAATTTACGCCATTGCCTTGTTATGTTTTACTTTGGCGTATTTCTCTTCTGTTTTAATTACAATAATAATTTTATTGGAAAAATTCTTTTTCTAATGAGTCATTTGTTTCCTCAGAGTGTGACAGAATGTTCATCAGCAACCCGGACGGGCCCAAGAATGGAACCTTCAGCGCTCCTGAGCTGACTATACCGAAAAACCACTCACGACAGTGCATCTACACTTTTATTGCCAGCGAGAACGAAAGGGTTCAAGTCACATTCATGTCCTTCAATCTGCGGGGAGCCATCCCAGAGTGAGTCTATTTGTTTGAGCTCTTTTCTTGCCTTAATACACGTCTCTTCCACAAAGTAGGTGTAAGAGTTGCCAACCTATCGTGCAAAACAACGCTAGTAGCAATTATTTATTTCTGAATTTGATGCAAAAAGGCAAACGGCTGTCTGAGAATACTGTCAAATTTTTCAAGCATAAATTCATTTGACAGGTTTTTCGTATTTCTATGAAGCTCAAAACTTGCCGAGTGTCAAAGTACGTTTGCATTTCAGGTGTCACCACAAACTAATTTTTTTTTCTAATTTCAGATTTGATAGCTGAAAGATGTTTTTTTTTTCGGGGGGAGGAGGGGGTAATATTTTTGTAATAGCATTAGAAATTTCTGCTGCATAAAATTTATGTGATATTTTAAATATATTTGTACAATCATAAAAACTTAAGTACCGAAGTCTTAATCAATTCTTCAATGTTTAAATTACTTTTTATTAATTATTTCGTTTTTGAATTTAACTTAAAAAGCGTTAATTTGTATGATAATGATGTAATCTCATTCTATTATTTGACAAATACGAGCCACTGTTTAAGATTTTGAGTGAAAAGACTCAGAGCGATATGAAGTTAAATGAATAAACGAGCAGACGAGCTATTATTCTCTTCAAAGTTAGAATTTTACCAAATATTACAGACTGTAATATATTTTTTTATATATTAAGGAACAATACCTCTTTCAGCTTATCAGTAAAGCTTTGTTTCAAATCGCTAATCAAATATGAGCTTTTGTTTCAAAGTTTGAGCAAAAAATCTGGTCATTTCTTTTTTTAAAATAATTTGTTTTTTAACTGAAAGGTTTCAAATTTTAACGGTCACCCAAAAGGATTTGTTAAGGGTTTTATGTTTGCGCTGAGCTCGCAGTCTGCTCTTGCACTCACTCCTACTAACCGTTTTTTGTTTTTGTTAGTCCAAAGAGGCAATTTGCCCAGGAGAGCAATTAATTTCGTTTTGGCATTTTGCGTCGGTACACTTTTCAAACTGTTGCCACCAAATATTCTTGTATCTATAATTAAAGAAATTAAATAAGGAAGCATCTGCATAAATATATGTATGTTTCTCGCGTTGTGATAAAACAACGGTACCTAAGTTATCCAATTTTGAATAACGTATGTTTCCACTCGAATATGGGCATCTGGAAGCCCAAATTTGGAATCTGGAATTTGTTTTATTATCGATTTCATATTTTATAAAACTTTAACGAATTTTTGATTGACAATCTCAACGATTTCAAAGCGAGCAATGGCTACCTGTACGGAAAAAAAAAAAAAAAAAAATTTCTATCTCCAGCGCGCGAGACTCTGTATCGGAAATTCTAAAGATAGGCTCATTTTATAATTATTTTGCGATATTGCTGTTGAACTGAATTTGATGGTTTATGTGTGAAGAACATGATATTTAATAAATAAAGGTAATAAACACACAAAACGCTAAAAAAAAAAAAAAAAAAAAAACGCCCCCTTGGGCGTAATGTAAAATCTGAAAACTTTCAGATTTTTTTTTTTGGGGGGGGGGGGGGCTTTTTAGATTCTTTTTCCCGCAGTTATATGCTTCAACAGCAAAATTACGAAAATTTTAAAAGCAGCATAGCATTATACGTTTAGAGTTACTAATGCAGCACATTAAGTGCTAGGATAGGTTTTTTTTTTTTTTTTTTTTTTTTTTTTTTTTATTTTTAAGTGTTCTTTCAGTTTATCATATCAATGTTCATTTTTCTTACTAAGCTGGCTTTATAAAAAATGTTTTTTTTAATCTTTTTATTACTAATGTTTTGTGCGTTTACTTATTAAATATCAGGTTATTGGCCACATAAAATTCGGTTAATAAGCAAAATCGCAAGATATTTAAAAAGAGCATATCTTTAGAATCTCCGATATACAGTCTGATGTGCTGGAGATAAAAATTATTTTTTCTGTACAATGTTTCCACCGCTGGCTTTGAAATCTTGGAGTATATTAATCAAAAATTCATTAAAATTTTATAACATATAAAACAGATAATAAAACAAATTCGAAATTCGCTTTTCCAGGTGCCCATATTCGGATGGAGAACTACATTATTCAAAATTTGACGACTCTAGGTACCGTTGTTTTTCACATTGCGAAAAAATATTCATAAATTCATGCAGTTTCTTTATTATTCAATTTCTTTATTTTTGGTGGCAAAGATTTGAAAAAAAATATGCCGTTTATGGTAATTCAACGCAAAATCCTGTTTCTAGACTAATAACATTTAGGCTAACGCTAAAAACTAAAAAAAAAGAATAAAGAAAAAAAAAGAATATTGAAGTGATTACAGTGAAGTTTTAATTTCATGTACAAATGTAAATTTTACATATTAAGCTTAAATATAAAAATTTTAATCTTTAGCCATTCAAGAAGGAAATTAAATAATAATTTGTTGTTGTGTTATAAGTAATTGCATTTGAGACTAATTTAATTGGTAGAAAATATTCCATTTCATAAGATGGCAACTGGAAGATTCTATCCCTATCATAACAACAAGACAAGAAGGAAAATTAACGATACAAAACACGTGTAGCAGATCATCTCTCAAATTACAAATACAGTGCTTACTCTTCAACCAGGATATACTACTTGCGAAATTCTACTCAAAATTTTTAAAGCTTATTTTAAAAAAATTGGTATTATTCCAAGTAGTTTTAGGAAAATTTAAAATGTTCAGAATAATTATTACTCTTTAAGTAAAATCATACATATAACTAAAAGAATACTAATGGAATACCCCAGTTTATCAAAAGAATAATAATGGAATACTATAGCGTATATCTAGAATTTAAATGTAAACTCCTAGAAAATTAGATTTCACAAACATATATTTCACCATTTATATAAAGCCTTTAAATATCAGTGTTTTATTTACTATACTTCGATGCGAATTCCAAGTTTTTGCATGATATAACATCGATAAATACTTAGGTCTCGAGAATGCCAATGAATACAAAATTTCGGTTGCCTATCTAGCATGCTTTCTTTTACAAAGACTACGGAAATCGATAACTTTTCAGTCAGGAAACTGGATGGTATCACTCAAATCCTTGGGCAATGTTACATTAGTGATAAAAGAAATAACATAAGCTTTCTTTAAGTACGTATGGTACTAAAACAGCTGTATTTGTTGAGATTAAGCTCAGCGTAGATCTATCTCTTAAAATATTTCCATCTATCTCATCTCTCTTGGTGTTTCTTTCTATCGTCAGTAACTAAGGTTAAACTTCTGTTTTCCTAACTTTTAGGCCTAAAAGTTAGATTAACCTAGTCTATCTTTAAAGCCGGCTTTTCGTCCCGGCGTTTACTACGAACTCAAAATGTTGAATAAATACAACAGCTGAATAAAATCAACAACTATCATTTATTACGTCTACATCTTTGCAAATTTACTATTCCAGTTTGAATAAACTTTTCTGTGCCTCTGAATGGCAACAGAAATAAACTTCAGTACTTCATTTTCAATTTGTTTTCACGCAATTAGAATGCTGCCGATGAGATGTTAGATTAGATTATAGAATTTGTGATATTCAGTTAAATTCGTTTTTAAATTAGATTTTGTATTTTGAATATAGATCACTCAACCATTACTTGTAGAATTTGAGATGCTGCTTCTCTTAAATAGAAGTAATGCAGAACTGCGAAGACAGCGCCATTTTGTCTAACGAATATTTCCTATGCAGCAAATGCTTTCTTCGGAGTACTTGAAGCTCAAATTCTCCCTTATTTCATTTAATATAGCAATATGTTAAAAGTTATCATAATTATTTCGAGCTCGCATGTGTTGGGCAGCTAACGTAACTTTACTGAAAATTACTATTTTTTACGGTTACTTCAAATGAATACAAAAGTTGAGCATACAAAATAATAATGGTACTTTTTCATTTTGCCGGCGCAAGCGATAAAGTCGCCAAAAATGGTACAACCGATGCCACTTTTTCCTCCTGGTAACCTTTTGCACCTCATTTTCAAAACAATTCGCAGCCATTTCTCATCAGATTGATTGATTCTTTCAATACTGGCATACAATTACACAGAATTTTTACCAGATAGTTCAATTTTATGCCCTAAGGCCATTCTCGGTAATTAAGTCAATTAGGATGCAATCCTAATTGCCCAAAGGCGAAATCCTAATTGGCTTAATTAGGATGCAATCCTAATTGCCCAAAGGCGAAAATATAGAAAAGGCAAAGTCAAGGTTTAAATTCATAGCGAAGTAAAGCATTGCGGCTTCACATAATCTCTGAGTAAGCTGTTCATACGATCTGAAATAATTCTTCCATTTAAACTTGTATTCCAAATTAAGATTTAACTTAAAATTAAGATAATTACTGAGAGAATTAGATTTTTGTAGCGTAGTTTATGGGAGATGAGATCACTTGGGGTCACGTGATACGAAACGGCGAATCAGGATGTAGTACCATGAAAGCATATTAAATTCTTAAATTAATGTCTTTTTACAAATTTATTGTCTTTATTTATTTTCTTTTTACAAAATTTTAAACAATATTAAAATGTTTATGCCTTCTAAAAATAAAAACTTCTTAGAACTAACATTTGTTCACATTTTTTATGTGTATACTGACTGTTGTCGCTAATAAAGTCTGCTTGGCGAGATTTACGACGGCGAAACAAAAAAGTACCATAATGTTTTAGTAATAATGCAAGTATATATCCAAAAGTTCTTACTTTGGATGATACCTTAATGGAAACAAGAATATCATACCTTAAATGGTGAATTTAATTTATCACATTTTGTGCCATTTGGCAATTCTTGTCATTGGATGTTTCATATTTTATTTCCCTCAGGTGTAATCATGAATATATTGATCTGTACACGGAGATCGAGGATGCCAGCATGGAGCTGATCCGCACACCTTTCGGAGGTCGCTACTGCGGCAGGAATCGACCACGTAATAGAATATCCATGTTCCAGACACTTGTGATTGCTTTCTACACGGACGAGACACACGTCTCAGCAGACGCCTTCGAAGGGTACTACGAATTCATCAACGCCTGTGAGTTAGAATTATTTTATTCCATATAATATCAAGTAGGGATAGTATTTTTTGCTACATCTTCTGCGTATTATCGAGCCAAATTTAATTTGTTTCTGTATATATTGGATTAGAGCACAGTATAAAAAGCTGGTGTACCATGGCAAGAATCGGTGGCATGATTTTAAGATATTTATTGACAAAACTAATAGAATACATAAATGTAGTAATTTATGTATTCTATTAGTTTGAAAAAGTCCATTTAAATGAAGATTGAACTGTTAAGAATTCTTTGATAAGTCGTTCTGCTGCAGAGTTCTTTCTTGGGGAAGGGCATGAAGACTAAATAGTGGTTAAAATTGTGATTTGTATCCATTCTGATCCATCCAAGATTGAACTGTTAGAGTTCTTTGATATAGATAAGTCGTTCTATTTAACAGTTCTATCTTGGGAAAAGGTACGAAAACTAAATAGTAGTTCACATTAAACACCTCATTTCCATTTTGATCCATTCAAGATTTAACTATTAGAGTTCTTTGGTGTAGATAAGTAGTTCTACATCGCAGTTCTTTCTTGTGGAAAAGCATGAAAACTAAATAGCGGTTAATATGGGCTTCGTATCCATTCTGTAACAAAGCCATTGGTGTGAAGAAAGAATTTCCTACACAATGCTGATATGCTGTTACACAACAATAAGTTATCGAAATCCTTTGCCGTCGCATAATATTCTTGTGTCAACTGAGCACAAAACACCAGTTCGAGTTTGGAGTTAACCCAAGAATCCTTTTTCTATCGGGAGAAAGCATATGAAGCTTGCTCGTTTCTGTATCGATATTGCATAATGACTGCATTGGAGTCTGTTCCTCTTTCCAGATTTCGAGTTCGGGACTGTACGTTGTGACAACCGAAGGAGAAGCGAAATATGCCTCTTAAAGTCTCAATGGAAAGTTTCGTTAAATTTTAAATTTCAATGTCTTCTCTTGTTAGGATACAGACCACCAAAACTTTAAAATATACCATTTCTCACCAAAGATTTAAGATACTTCAAAGTACTCGCAAACAAATGGAAGAATTCCGCAGTGGCAGTTATTGTTATTTTATGGCGAGAATAAGTCAGTGCTGCTAAAACAATGAATTGTAACCATCTACCTAAAAATTCATTACTTCATTCCTCATCGGTTTCTTTTAATTAATCATGTTATGAGTTAGTTACCTTGGTTAATCTTACCTTTATTCTTTCATGAATCTGGGCCTTCCTCTTCAGCCTGTTGATAATCATGTCACATGTACTGGTAAATGTGAGGAAACGGAAAACTTGCCCCTTCGTCTTAAATTTTGTTCCTTGACAAGGAAACGTAAAATTTACATTGAAGTAGGAATAGCTCTAATGTATCTCAGGCTCAGATTAATAATTCTGGACTATGTCGGCATTCTTGCAGAAACTGAGATATATACTCATATTACCACAGCAGCAACAAAAAATAAAATAATTCGAAACCTTTCAAATTTATATTACACCCAAAAAGACGTATTTTAGTGGCCACCTTAAATGTCTTTCCTTTGATAGTGGCAGAAAAATCCACCCTGCTTATAAAAAATGCTGCGACCATCCAGCTTCACAGACTTTCTAAGGAGGACTTAACATCCGGTCCCCTCACTGTTATTGATGTTTTGACTGTCAACAACCTTCTGGAGCTACTCAGACATGAGGATAAGCAGCAGGACGTATTTTTAACTTACACTGTAGAGAAATTAGGATATTTTGAAGCAGGAGACATGGAAAATGAGAAATACCCTCACCGGGACTCGAACCACTGACCTCTCGAATACGCACCGAGTGTGCTGACCTCTACATCATGAAGGTATGCTAAGAAGCCGGGAGAAATACCTTATAACACAGACATATACATTTCAAGAGCATTTGGGCTAATGTCATTTTGGGCTGAAAATATTTAGATACAGCATATCTTTAGAATTTCTGATAAACACTGTCGCACGCTGGAGATAAAAATGTTTTCTTTAATACGGGGGTCTAATATTTGGCAACAATTAGAAGGGAAAGAAAAACGGACATTTATAGTGAACCGACGTAAAATGCCGTTCCGAGATTAACAGTCCAGCGCCAAATATATGCAGCTGCTACAAATTAGTTTCTACTGAGGCCGTACCGTGTTTCTCTTTCTCCAAACAGAAAAATCAGAAAATAATCTTAAAAAAAAAAAAAAAAAAAAAAAGAAAGAAAGAAAGAAAGAAAGACTTTTAATCCATGAGCAGTCTTAATCTGGAATTGATTCTGCTGCCTTTGAGCGATACGAGAACCAATAAAGAAGGCACTTTCCTGTCTCAGCAAGAGAGGATCTAATTAATTCCCCCCGGAAGCTATCCATCTTGACCTTGTATTAAAAGTGACATATTTAGCAATATGTATGAAAAGACAGTTTAAGATAGACTGATGATTTTTTAAAAGTTGAACATTGGAAAGTTTTAGAGCCTCTTTCGATACTTAATGAATGCAAACGTCATTCCTAAATACGATCTTCTTATTTCTGAATTAATGTCCTTTAGACACCTGATACTCAACAATAAGAAATGTATAAACCTACCAGGTAAAAAAAGGCTCATGCCTCATTCTGTTGCGAAGAGAAATCTTGGCACAACATCTTAAGAGACCAAGCTTCATCATTAAAATAACTAAATACATGTTAAAATTTGTCATATAAACTTACAGGCAATAATTATTATCAATGAATAAACGAGAAGCTTAAATCCCTGGATGCATGACTATACCAAATTGTGCAGTTGCAAAGGGATAGACACGTTGACATGTCTTTAAAGCTGTTTTCTTGCAGAAAATATGGCTGAGTGGTAAAAGGTTTGAGAAGATTGCCTAGAGTAAGGGTTTTCAATCAGAGGGCAAATTTCATGTTCGGAGGGGGGAAAAGTCGAAAGTCTTTCAATTAGGTCTTAAGTACTAAGTTTTACACTCATGTCCATAAATTAAGGATAATGCAAAATCAGGCAAAGGAAGAGTTAGAAGCAAAACAAATTTGACTTATTTGTAAAGCTTATTTATTAAACAAAAGATAAAGAGCAAAAAAAGATGCTATATGTTTGATATTATTAAAAAAATTAGCGATTTTTCTCCCTGGAGCAAATTACAAAGAAACCTATTTACAAAAAACCGATATTACATGGTTGGTATGATTGTTAATAGATTGTATGTCTCCCAGACGATGCAATACAGTCCGTACAACGCCTAGGCATGCTGAGTATCAAATTATCGATTTGATCTTGGGGGATATTACACCACTCAAAAAGCAATGCTCTCCGAAGTTAAGGTAGACATGTAAGAGGAGGTTGACGGGCTGCAACTCGTCGGCCAAGCATGTCCCATGGGGCGACCTGTGCTGTAACGTTTACTCACATTACCATCATTTTGGAATCGTTGCCAAAGCCTGGAGATGACACTCTGGGCAATTCCAAATTCGTCTGATACTTTCAGTTGGGTACGCCACATTCCAGACGGCCGATAATTCTACCACGTAAAAAATCATCCAAATGCGTCCTTTGTGTCATAACTATTCGGTTATTGCACTGAAATGCTTATAAAGCGCCTGGGAACAATTTTACTTCTTTGCCTGTATTCCTATATATCACTCTCTTACACTCTCGTCATTGTGACGTACCATCGGTGTCATCTGGTTACTTCCTGAAATTTGCATATAATTCTTGAAGATGTGCGTAGTGAATTTACAGGCGATATATTTATTTTAGAGTTCGATTTCCGCGTGACTCCGAATTATCCTTAATTTATGGACATGAGTATATTTCACAAATATAAAAAATTACTTTTATTTAAGTTTTGGTATTTATCAACAATTTCTATAAGGTATTTTTTCCGTCTTTCCGCGTTGCTTTCGTGGTGTAACTGGGAACACGCACCACGTCTATTCCGGAGTTCGAATCCCGGTGAGATTATTGCGGATTCAGGAAGTTTCCTGAATTCGAAAAAATTCTAAAACACTCTGCAAGCTTTTGTTTCTAAATGTATAAAACAAGTTAAAAATATTCTACAGGGTGCGGCAGCGTTCATAGCGTAATTTGACTATTGTAGTAAAATGACATACTGCATGAATGCGCGCCAGCTCGTGCCGCATTCGTGTACTCACGAGCTGCCATTTCGAGTGTGATAGCGATATGGATCGTTGGAGTGCACAGCATCGTGCCTTTGCTGTTGAAAGTTATTTCAAGAATAACTACTCTGTTATTACTACCCGGCGTCTATTTCAGAAACAACTTGGAACGTCATGGGAAAGTTCCAGATGGACGGACTATTGCGACAGATATTTCCAGGTAGAGTAATTTCCGTTTTTGGTGACATTTCCTGGCTGCCTCGCTCACCTGATCTATCATGTGCAGACCTTTTCCTTTGGGGCCACCTGAAGCAAAAGGTTTTCCGAACACGTTGTGCCACCATTCCTGAGTTGAAGGATCGCATCCGAACTGCCGTCGGCAATGTCCCAGGGAATACGTTACGCCGAATCATGGCTAGCCTCCAACGCCGCCTAGATGAATGTGTTGTACAAAGGGGGTATCATTTGAAAAAATTAATCCACTCAATGGACAATGACTGACACATTAGTAAACGGCATACCCTTAACTATTAATTGACATAAGACGTAATAAATAAATTACAGTTAACTGCCTTATGGTATGTTTTTAATATCCTACTATGAACTCTGCCGCACCCTGTACATCTCAACAAATGCATATGTATATTTCGAGTTTTGAAAAGGAGGGGGGAATGATATTCTAACAATGGTGAAAGTGGTGCATGGGGGGCGAAACAGGTTGAGAACCACTGACCTAGGAGTAAAGAGAAAGGTGAGAAGGTCTTTGCATAATATTAACAAAAACAAAAGAAAAAAAATCAGTAAGTTAGAAAGCAACATCAGAAAAAATCAGGAGGGGCGTTGAAGTTGAAATCCCAGCATTAGTGTTATTAAGGGAGGATGAAGGGATAAAACACAAAATGAAATAATTTTGCTGTCAAATACAGCAAAAAATAAGCATTCGGCTCCTCTACCTCAGAATGTAACAATTTTCATTGACATGTTGATGTTTTGTTTTCAGCTTTTCTCTTCTAGTTTATTTTATGTCAACGTTTATTAAGTTACTCTAAAACATTTGCTGCTCAGCATGCTTACAGATTGTTTGTAATCGAACAATCAACATGAATCTGTTTAATTGAACAGCTAAGGTTGTAAGGTTTTTCTCCCTCCTCATCGTGTGCCTCGTGATATAATTGGAAAGCACGCCTCTCTAGTATCAGAAGCATAGGAGTTCGAGGCTCGGAGACGGCACTGGACATTTGTCATGTTGGCCTGCTTCAAAAAACCTAATGACTCTACAGTGGTACCAGAACTAAAAGGTGGTGTAAGATAATTCCTCACCCCGGGAATTGGAAACTACACCTTCATCCCTAGTGGCCCTTTAAGTGGGGGAGAACGTAAAGTATTTCTCCCTCCTCACCGCGTGTCTCCGGGGTGTAATGAGAAGACACGTGCGATTAACATCAGAAGGTCCAAAATTCAAGTCCCGGCGAGGGCATTGCACGGTTTTCATATCTTCCCACTTCAAAAATACCTAATGCCTCTACAAGGTTATATCTTTATTGGGCTTAATTTAGACACCGGGTTAATCTTTCTGGAATGCTAAATTAATTCTTCCCAACCTTACTTCCATTGAGCAGTTATGCGAACGCCACTATCCAGTCTGAATGAATAGTTAGACCTGCCATTATGGCAGCATAGGCTAATATACTTCAAGGGCGGTATCAGCGATCCTGCATATACAGAATACCGATTGTGGTCAAAGAAAACCAACACGTAATTAGAAGACATGTTTAACGTTTTGTCCGATCAGGGTAACACGAGAATAGAAAGGTCTTGCTATCAGCGATATGACATCACTTAAACTTTCCAAATTCTAGTAATCTGAAACATCATAAGGGCATTGCTCATTTTTTTACCTAAAAAAGAAATGACAGTCATTCACATAAGAAGCTATAATTTTCTGCAAATGTTTTAAAGCTATATTGTCTGCCTTTTTAAGGTATTCTGCAATAGCGTAACTATTACATTTATTTTCAGTTTTATGAAAATTACAGAAATGCATTTGTTTGCTTTTAAGTTTATATACAAAAGGTTTATATTCAATTCGTTTTTTGCTGGGAACTATTCTCCAACAGCAAAGCAAGAAAAGAATCAACAATATGCTGACATAATTTAATTTTAATTCCGTAATATTTTTCCTCAGCAGATAACAAGAATAATGATTCAGTATTAGAATGTTTCGCTTTTCTAAATGTTATTGCTGCTGATGAGACTTTCTGTAGTCACCACATAGATGCGATTAATCATTTTTATAGTGAATATTTTGATTTATGTGAATCGCAACAATTTTCAGTAGCTGTTCTTATTTTTAAGCTGTCTTATATTTGCATTTGTCTTTACCAGCTCAGTACGTGGTCGGCACTCCTTCCCCAGACTCGGTGTGCAGTTTCACTGTATTCAGCGACAACCAGAGGGAGGGAGAATTCCGTTCACCCACCTACCCTGGGGTGTACCCGAAAAACTTGCACTGCCAGTACCGATTTCTGGGCAGGAAAGGACAACGGGTCAGACTGGAGTTCATGGACTTTGATCTTGTCTTCGGTGGTGCACAGTAAGTTTGCAGTTATTTAACTTCGGTGGTGCGCAGTAAGTTTGTAGTTATTAACTGTTAACTAGTTACGTTTAATCTTGAAACCTTTTCCCTTTAAATTCTTCTTGTGTTTCACATAAAACTCCCTGCCTGAACGAGATTTCAGTATCGCGTTTTATGTAAATGAAATAGAACCAGTATTTAATGGGAAGTTCGGTCCCTTCCGTAGAAGAGCCCAGAAGTTCTCAGTACTGCGTGTTCTGCCTTCGGGCTAAATCCTTGCTTTAAGTTTATCTTACTACATTCGACCGTAGTCTTGACGTGCCTGTTAGTGTTCGTTGTTGAAGTTTAATTACGGACCAACCCGGTTTAGTTATTTTTGGTTAGCTTCGGCTAAACTTCACCAAGTTAGAATTAGTTTAGTTCCTTATTTTCTATCTTAAGTTAAAGCCAAAGTGGAGGCTTTTCTATAAGCCCGAGAAGGGATCGATTGTATTAATTTCTGCGAGTGAATAAAAGGGTATTTTAACCGATCTTTGGACTCATCATTATAGTTGTAAGAAGACAAGCAAATAGTCGCCAAACTCTTCACTAAAGTTCCGGCAGACAAGGACACGTAACTAGAACTTTATAAAGTTGAATAAATGAATCTCCATTTTTCCTCTGCTAATTTCAGTTTCTATTAAAAACATGCTATACAGTAGTCCTTCGCACAGTGAACGCGTGTCATAATGAATGTCCCGAGTAACGAATTGTCGTATGAACTGGACAATATCGGCAAAACCAATTCGGTCCCGCATTATGAATCGTATACAAATTTCGTGACACATTTAACTCGACGCTAAATCTCGTTTATTTCTTGTTTTAGCAGCATATACATGAAAAAAGGTTTGTAAACAAAGGCAATGAACAAACGGTCGGGCAAATAAATACAGCTGTTTACTTTACCACTACAGAAATCCAGCCTTCTTTGCCCTGGAACACAAGGTAATCTAAAGGAAAGTTTATCCTGATGAGGAGAAGAACAGAAAGAGTCTGTAAGTAATGTAGTTACCAAGGACCTGTCAAAGAAGCAGAAACTAGATTCATTAAACATTTCTTAAAATGAAAACTTATTTAATTAGAGTAGAGAAATATTCAAGCCACAGCTAGCAAGGCATCTCACTAAGCTGAAATATGCAGGAGAACTGATCGGATGATTTTTAGAGGATATGATTATTTAGATAAATGAACTCTTTAAGAGCAAACGTAACTAATAAATGAAGTTTCGGAGAATGATGGGATTTGAAACTGAATTCCTGGTTCTCTGGATATATTATCACGAACTTATATCATATAATACCCCGGAATTGTTCAGCGTAGTGGATAACCAGTAGGTTCGTAAATTCCATGCTTTCGTGTTATAAATGATAATATGCTCAGCTAGCATTTGGAAGATCTGTATTTCTAATCGGGTAAATTTTTGTGGTTGTTGTTGTTTTCTGGCTTTGAAAAATATCTTACTGCCAGCACTGATTTACTAAAGATACCCGATTTGAAACCGGCTTACCCAGTTGCTAATCTGCATGTGATTGTAAATTTGCCTCAGCAAGCAACGTTTTACAGGTAATTAATGTCAGCTGCAGAGTACAGGGCATTTTTATTGTTAATTTAGGGGGTTACAAACTCAAAAATATTCGCCTCTCATTTTACACCCATTTTATACCATCCTTCATCTATATTCTTTTAACATAAGTTGATCAAAAATGCAAGTATAAATAGGAGCGTAAAACTAAAAAGCTGCTTTTTTATCAAAATAATTAAAATCTTGGTAGGTTTGAATGAAGTTCAAATGCATCATATTAGCGAGGAAAGAATGTAATGGCAAAAATGTTATAGTATACATGAGCATGAGGTAATGTAAATTGCTAAATCTTCAAAATCAGGCTTTTTGTTGTTTAGTAGTTTAGCATCCACTAACCACGTTTAAACTCTCAGAGTATGCTTTTTTCGGCACAACATTTTGATCCTGTTAAAAAAAAATATTGTTGCGTGAGTACGGATTCGTAACGGATCTTGATATTTTCCCAAAAGAAACAGATTATACAGTTCTGTACCTATCCACAAAAGAATTCGAAAAGCTGTTGTTAGTATAACAGAGCACATATCAGTAATTAAACTTCAAACTACTAAGAACTTTAAACACAACGCAATGCAAAGCGCATCTAAAAGGCGAGGCTCTCACGGATCTTCCAATACTATGAAGTAGGCTCTGAACTAATGCTCTCTCCGTGCTTATGTAGTTTCCCCTGTCTACCGAGAAACCTCTAGTGACTTTCATTTCTCGAAATTACTGGAAGACATGTACGGTTAAAGCTATATGTAAGCGTCAGATACCGTTACAATTACATACAGGGACCAATTACAAATTATTCAATTATGGTACCAATTATAGTTATAGCAAATCAAGAATCGGACCAAAATACCGCCAAATGGTCGTCAAGTTTGGGACAAAAATTAATCGCCAAAAGCATCGTCAGATTCAATTTAGCGAGATAGCCAATTACTTCAATATTAAACAAACTTGCCCTTTCAGCCATATCTTCACTCACTTCAGACTTTTCGTGTTACATTATGCAAAATTCGTAACAATATCAAAATGTTGCCTTTCTCTTCATACATATATGTTCTGAATGTGCCTCAGATAATAATTATTTTAATAGATTTGGCCTTGCTTCAAACCGGAGGTACATTAGCGGTAGAGATAAAATGATTTTCTTTCAGTATAAAAACTTTTAACCTGGCAAATGCAGTCGGAAGTGTCGAAAGGTATTCGATAGTTATTTTCTTTACTGAGAAGTAAGCAATGTAATTCCGTTGCAAATAGTAATTCATGAGTAATAAGGCAAATGATTGCATTCGATTGTTCAGTTAAATCAAAATCCATGAAATTCCGAATATTCAGGTATTGACAAAAAGCAAACAGAACGACTGAGACAGGTTGTTACGGAATCCACGTAATTTTCTTGATGCTGAGACATTAAGAGATGTTTTAAGAAGTTAAAAACTATCATGTTACGGATTCTGTTTTATACTGAAACTAATTTCATTTTTCTTTAGCTGCCCGTTTGATTTTGTGAAAGTATTCGATGGCGCGACATCGGATGATCCTCTGATCGGCACTCATTGCGGACAGCAGAGAAACCTCGTTATCTACTCCTCGGCGGAGAATGTCTCCGTCCAGTTCATCACTCTCCAAAGGACAGCAGAAAGCGAAAACAGGGGATTCTCGGGATTTTTTGAATTCAGTGAGCGATTTGTCAGTCTTGGTGAGTAAACATTATATTTCTTTCTTCGTAAGGAACTCGAAAAACATACAGTAAATTCCAATTAAAAGAAGACTCATTAACTGGTGTGTAGATTTACTGAATCCTATTGTGATGTAGTGGCTGAAACCGCTACTCAAGCACTGGGTTGTGTTACAGGGTTGAAATGAACTTCAAACTCAAGTTTTAACAATAGCATGAATTTTAATAAGACGAAAACCTTAACAGTTGCATATCTTGACAGTGTGGTACTTAGATATATTTAGTCCCGTAATTTCAGAATTTTGTTACAGGCAAAAATGCTCTAACGCATTATACACTAGGAATGATCGGCCGGCCAACATGCCCATAGCTCCAAACAGGAAAGTTTTTCCTCTCTTCTCAGGAAACCACCTTATATATCTCCCTGTGTTTTCTTGCGCTGAACTCCCGGGGGAGAATGATTCTCTCATTCATACATAACAAAGTTTCCATCTCCTGACCCTGATGAAAAGATCCTCTTTGTCCACTGGAGTGACCTTCGAGGCTGCAACTGGAATCATTAACAAAGGCATAGAATTTCACCACTGATAGGTAAACTACTACTCTCTGAAATCACTCACTATCTGAAGTGATTTATTGAAAAACGATGGAAAAATTACTGCTGCAAACCATCAACCTAAAACAAAACTGTGCACAATAAAAAAAAATTTTTAAATGATTGAAATAACAACAAAGATAGAAGAAAATGTCTAACATTTAACACAGTGAAGATTAACCGGCTTTATTATGCGGGTCTGATGCATAAATGACATTATTCAATTTCTCTTGCAAATATTCTTTTCTAATGCCATTTATAATTTCTTTTCTTTACCTCTAACTGTGTTTATTTTTTTATTGTTTGTTTGTCTGTTTGTTTGTTTTGGCTACTGACACAATTTACATAATCAAATGAATTTATTCGCTAAGTTAAATCTGCTTAAAAATGCAGGTAAATGGTTCATGATATTTTTCTGTTAGTTACAATACATGTTATTCCTCTTTCTTGTATCGTTTTTGTCTGCTCATAGAATTAAATCGTGGACATTATCCCCAGTACTTCCCCCCAAAACTCAGATGCTGACTGCAGTTATATGTGGAATTCTTTCCACAGGCATACAATAAGAAAAGTTGTGCTTAAATTGCTGGAATTATGAGGAGTCACTGCTTGGACAAATGTATAATATTTTGATTCGAAAACGAACCAAATGTTTTAATAAGAAAAGCAATCAAAACTATTTTCTTTGATAAGGGATTCTATGTAATTTTTTTATTAATTATTCCAGAACAAGCTGTGTAAAATAAAAACTTTTTGTAGTGCAAACTTTAGTGAGATTTGAGGGATTAACAATTTCTCCACACCAATTACAAAGTGAACTGTAATATCGAGTTGGCAAGAAAGTAATTTCGGTTATTTAATGTGAAATAAAACTCAATTTTTCCATACAAAAAAGGAATTTTAATCTGTCAAATATCTCCCACTCTTTTCGATGACCTTTTGCCATATTTGTGGTAACTTAATGATTTCGCGCTCCAAGAACTTCTGGGCCGCCCAACCGGTATAGCCAACCGTCGCTGACTGCAGTGTCGAAAGGCCCGACTTTGGATCCCGGAAAAGATATGGATGTTTGTAAATCTTTAGTCCCGTTGCGGTATGGCGGCACTCTAAATATGCTGCGAGCCACACAAGTCCTCTTTTGTGGTTTGGTAGAAGGAAAGAGGTGTGGGAGACCCTCGTACCCGTCCTTTCCCGGGACGCTCTCCATTAAAATTGCGGGGGGGGGGGGAAACTGAGCTAAATCGCACTGTCACCTGAATGGTGGTGTTTTATTTCATAAATTACGTTTTCATATTTTTAATTGTATAATTTCTGCATACCATCTTACCAGATTTAAATTGATGATCTATAATCCGGAAAAACCCCTAATCCGGAATCGCCGAAGTTCCAACGAGTCCGGAATTTGTACTGTACTAGAAATTTCCCAGCTGCTGGTGGAAAACTACATAAAACTGGGAAAAGCATCTAGTAATAATTCAGAAGTTGCAGGCCAGAAGAAAAGAAATGATCGAAGATCAGTTCTGAATTGTTTACTACAGCGTTGTGTTTGGAGTATTGAGAGATCTCTCTGTCAACTGTACCTTTTAGATGCGCTTTCCATTGTGTTTAACATTCTTAGTTTGAAGTGTAATTACTGATTGTACTCTATGATTCTGAGAAGAGCTGTACGAGTATTTTTGTGGAACGTTTTAATTGTAAAGTGTTTCTTTTGATAAAATAAATTTTATGAAGCTATCATTGATTCTATGTGCATCCAATTCATTACGAACCCTTATGTACTGAACTGTCGCGGTGGAACACGATTCCTTAGCGATTTGCCAATTCTGGCCTTCTCTCTTTGATTGCTTCCTACAGTTTCATAAGTTTTTGGCAGCAAACATCTGAGTTAATCATTTGGTGGCTTGGAAGTAGCTCAAAATGTACAACACCTTTGCAATCCCACCAAACTGACAGTATGATCATTTTTCTGATGCAATTTAGCTTTCGATGTGATTTGTGCTGATTCATTATGCGTGTACCATGATGTTTTCCAATTAATGTTGCTCTAGATGATCCAGTTTTCATCACCAGTGATAATTCGTTTAACCCTTTGCGGCACAGTGTGTCCGGTCTGGACACACCTAAAACTTTCCTTCTGTACGCACAGAAAAATTGAATGAAAAAGGATTTATGGGTTACTCTGAACCTTCTTTATTTATACTAGATGGCAACTCAACACAAACAAGTCCATATATTTTAGCCATTTTAGTTTTTTAAGGCCCTCGTTTTTCAAAGAAATCCTCCAGACTTTTTTTTTACGGTATAAAAGGAATTGTTTGAAAAGAAATTTCTCTGTTATTTTTTTGGATGTATGCTAATCACCTTATTCTATATTAGTTTAAAATTTTTACCTCAAAATCTTGCCTAAAATCAAACGGCGAACCCTAGGTGTGCCCAGACCGGGCTCACCGTTAATCTAGGACAGCTGAGAGTCTGTATTCTTTTGTTTCTCCGCATCTCATCGGTCAGTTCATTGACAGGGCACACCCACAGAATTAAAACGATAAGTGCTATCTTCACAAATTTTTACTTGTGTATTCCTCTAGGCCTAATTAGACTGCCTACATTTTTTTAATTATTATTTTTTTTTTATTTTTAAATCAAAATTCCTACTTTAAAAGGTAGCGTGCCGGAAAGGGTTAAAAAAGTGGACGACTGCATTACCTTTTAAATGTGTATCCAAATACTGATACGTTGTGTTAAGTAAATTTATTTCAATTCCTGCGGAACCCAAATATCGAGTTTCTTCAGGGCCGGATTCAGACTTGATAATGCTCTAACCGCTTTGAGATACTTAAAATTTTAAATCACAGAAGCCAAAATCACATATCTCTTAATCTCGTTAAGAAGCTGCTTCTTAACGAGTCCAAGGCATCCTCTGTGATTTTGAATTGTTGTGTGGGATAGATGTAACCTTTCTGCAATCTCCCACACAGTACACAGTTATATGACGATTCGATTCAATTATGGCTTTACGTTGTCATCTTTAACTCCAGAAGGTCGGCCAGAACGCTGGTCATCTTCAAATGAAAAACTTCCAGAATCAAATATTTTAAACGAATTCTGACACGTGTGTTCAGTTAAGCAACCAACACCAATTAACTTCACTTATCTCTTTGTGAGCCTCAGCCACTCTCTAGCCTTTATGAAAATAAAAAAGTAAAATATATCGAAAATGTTTATTTTTGCACTCCATGTTTATAATTGACTGTGAACTAATAATTGCAAGCGAAAATATACGGAATTTGCTTTTATAACAACCTAAAAATGTCAGCTGCCAAATGTCAAAATTTTAAAAAATATAAGATTAACAAAAGAAACATAACGATGTCTATTTGTGCAAACCGAAATTACTTTCTTGCCAACCCAATATCTGTGTTGCAATACAAAACCATTTATTGCCGAAATGAACTGCTTTCTTCTGCAATTTTTACTTATGGAAATTTTAAGGATTAGATTATAGTAGTATTTGTATTTAATATCTTTTCTTTGCTCTTTCCAGAATATACAATTCAACAATAAAAACATAATATTATGTTTTTATTGTTGAACTGTATCTCCTTGTATTATGAACTATTTACTTACATCTGTTAGCCTCGTGGAATACTTCGTGGAGTACGAAGAGTTTTATATTGGTTTTCTTAAATTAAAAAATTTGATATGTACACCACATGATTTCCTTTACAGAATATTAAATTATATGCATTTTTTCTTGCATTTCATTTAAACTTATTGAATTTAATTAAATCTACTTCGTCCATAGCGTATATAAAAACACAATAGAATAAATGCACTTTAAAATTCACAATATTTTTTTTACCATAGCAACACTCTGGTGCTAGGTTCACTTAACAGCGTTACATTTCATGTTCTATTCAAATACTATAATAAATCCAAAACGATGTATAAAAGAAAGTAAGCAAAAAAAGAAAGGAAGAAAAGAAACGTTTTTCACAAACGATTCGGTATTTCTCATTCAATTAATTCAGTTCTCACTTCGCGAGAAGGCAAAAATACATTAAAACTCAAAATATTTGCATTAAAAATTATGAAGTAAATCTTAAACACTTATTTCCTCGAATAAATTCCAGAATGGATTAAGCATCATTTAATTTGCAACAATAAAAAAGGCGTTATCTTTGTTGTTGTGAAGCTTAGTTTCTCTAGATTGGCAACAAAACCACTATTCTGCTAAGTTTCAAATGTAAACAAAGATGGCCGCTATGGCAAAAATAATTAGGCTTAGCCCCACTTAAAAAAACTTTTCAATTGTTGAAAATTCTACAAATATTGCATGCAGATTTACTAAAGGCATACAAACCTTAACCGGAAGATAAGAGCAACATAATTCAATTATTTTAATAGCAAAAAATGCACAATTTACAAAGAGTAAAGAAACTGAGATCACTGAGCCGGGTAACAGAGTGGATATATGAATGTATTTATATACGTTTGGTGCGGCCGATTTCAACCAAAATACGAGGTGCACATCTACATGTTATAGCAGTCCTGTATACAAAATTTCGAAGTTCTGAGGCTACTCGTTTTTGAGTTATGTGAGATACGTACGTACGTACGCACAGACGTCACGAAAAATTCTCTTCAGAATTCATTTTAAATCAGTTTTATATTTTTCGGGGGAAGAAGAGTCCTTTATTCTGTCCTTACGTACATATGTCACGCAAAAACATCGTTAACTTGCATTCGATAGCAGTCAAAATGGACGTTTTCGTTGAAATATGATACCTGAAATTTTCCCGATTACAATACTTCCTTTTGACTTGTACAAGGAAGTTTAAAAAAAGTCTTTTTTTTCCCCCTGTGTGATTTTTTTGATACATGTATTTAATTCACCATTTCTTTTAAGGACTGCAAGTTTTGTAAATTAACGACGTTTTAATTCGACATTGCTAAGAAACAGTAGTTCTCCATAATTCTTGATAAATCGGTTTTAGTAGAAGTGTAATATCTTAATGGCATAATATTCTTTAAAAATAATTCTAATTCTAATTCTTTAAAATGAGGTAAACAATTAAAGTAGGATCTCTTTAAAAAATTACTTATTTTGAAAACTGATTTTTCATTATGCCTTTTTTTTTTTTCTTTCCACAGATTTTATCGGCAAAAATGATGGAGAACATATTCGTGGTACAGGTAGGTTCTACTAAAATTTTTCACACGTTCTATATGCAATTACATTTTTTTTTATTTCTTATTTAATCTGCCGATCTTCATCACATACTCAGATTTCATAATAAGCTTTTAAATTCATAATAAAAGAAAATTATTGCTTCTATGGATTCCAATTTTAATATAGTGTAGAGACATTAGGTATTTTTTTAGAAGCAGGCAAGGTGGAAAATGAGCATTCGCCTTCGCCGGGAATCGAACCACGGACCTCTGGAATACCTGCCCAGCGTGCAGAATCACTACACCACGAAGGCACGATAGGAAGGCAAGAGAATTACCTTATAATAGAAAGACACGAAAATCAGTTTCATTATGGAAAAGGACGAGAAAAGCCCTTAATTTTTTTTTTTTTTTTTTTGAAAGATTAACCTTAAGCATTTCTTTTGTCATTTAAAAATTTAAACTCGTTAATCAATACTTTTCAACGTAATAAAGTACATTTGTGTGGATAATGATTCTGTGACACTCACGATCAAAAGAATAATTTTCGCAATTGAGCCTCGGAAGCCACCTCTTTTTCAAAATGCACCTCTCCTCCCAGTATGGCATCAGCTGTTTCTGGCTTTTCGTGAAATTCAAATCTAGGCTTTTCGCTTGGTAAAGTTTGGAAACCCTAAAATCCTTTTCTGAAGGAAATTTATAAATTGCAGTCTCTTTGTTATGGGAATTTCCACATTACATTTTCCTCGAGGACTGATTTCTATTAGTGAAATGAATTACATTGAAAATTATAAAATTGTTTAATTATGTTGTAGAGACATTATTTATTTTGAAGCAAAAGTCGTGAAAAATGAGCAATGCCCTGGTCGGGACTCGAACCACGGACCTCTGGAATACACGCCGAGCGTGCTGACCACTACACCGCGAAGACATGTTAAGAAAGCGGGAGAAATACCTTATAACGTGATAAAGTAAACTTTAATCTCACACAGAGTACCTGCAAAATGAAAAATATACTCTTGTCAACAAATTACGCACCTATAGAAATTTTTTTAATTATCTGATAAGCATACTGCAATCTTACTTGTAATTTCTACTACAGGAAAAACGCGCTCCAGTCAAAATGTTTTCCGACCTGAAGTAAATAGCTTTGAGATACATTCCGATCAAAGAAAGTACATACTATTATTTAAATATTTTATTATATGCAGAAATTTTAAAATGCTTCTCTGGTCTGTAGACCAATAAAGATGAAACACAGAATATTATCCCCTTTGGGACTAAGATTTTGCCATTTTATTTGCGTAACACTGTTGTTGCTTATCTAATTGATTTTAATCAGATCGGGTTAACGAATTCCTCATGGGCAAAAATAAGAATGGAGCGTCTGTTGATGGGCAAAGCCTTGGGCACCTTGTGGATAACAATACTAGTTTTGTTAAGCTTTGTTGATATTTATCGACAAAGTTAGAGGAGAGGGAATCCAAGGATCTTCTACCTGTCTTACTTTACCACCACCTTCTCTAAAGATTTTCAGCTCCACGAATTTTAAGTACCCGTATCTGCAAAGATATCATACATTTGTAAACATCTATCTTTCTCTAAGATTTGAACGAGAGCCCATTTAGAAGCATCGATTTATTTTTTTCGAGATTTACAGAAATGGCAACCGATTCAGCGATACCAAAGAAACAACCGCATACCATAATGATGAACAGAACAAACATGCTTTCTTATTCTTCTTGGAGTGTGTGTCTGAGACATATATTTACTTTAAGTTTTCAAAATGAAAGACTAAATTCATTGTCTTATAAAGTATTTCTCCTGCCTTCTGAGCATGCCATCGTGGTGTAGTGGTCAGCACGCTCGGCACGTACTCGCGAGTTTCGTGGTTCGAGGCCCGGCCAGGGCATTTCCTGTTTTTTCATCTTTTCTGTTTCGAAATAACCTAATTTCTCTATAGTCTCTTTTTGGGCAATGATGCACAGCGCATTTCTATTGCATACTTTAATAAAATATATAAATGAACTAAATTAAAAAGTATTGAATTTTAAAAGAAAATTAAATCCTTTGCTCTTGTTCACGCTATGCAATTTGCTAACTACGAATAAGCAATCTGATTAAATTTTACAAATGCTACTAATTTTATCGAATTTATATTGCTAAATATAGAATTTTCTATACTGCAAACAAAAATGTTTTCCAAGGTAAAATAAAATGGAAATTCAATAGTAAAGTCGCAAGTTAAATAAAACTAGATTTTTTAATTCAAATTAAGTTTTGCTTTAAGTTTTAAACACCCATTTTCTACATTTTTACATAAAAATTTCTGTTTCACTTCCAGAATGTGACCAAAAGATTCTGAGCAAAAAAGAATCGTCAGGGAATGTTTATTCTCCGAATTATCCCTTTCCCTATCACCAGAATACAGTCTGCAAATATTATATTTACGGTTTGCAAGACAACCAGGACTTAGAAAGGGTGAGAATGATATTCGAGAAATTTGAAATACCCAGCAAAGATGCCGAGTAAGTTTAAATTTGTAATTCTATAAGGCTTTGTTTTAATAAAAATAGGGAAAATAATAATTTAATCGTAACACCTCTATAGCAGATAAAGCGTAACTGGCATCTCAGTTTTAAAATTAATTCGTTATTTGCACGTTAAAGGTGTCAATTGCTCACATTTTTCCCTTTTGTGTTTTTGATTAAAGCCTGAGAAGTGTCTAAAACAGTAATTTCTACTTAAAAAAAGCATAATTAACATAATTAACTATAAAACAGTTGTTTTTCAGTTTATTAACCCAAAGAGGCGTTAGTCCCGAAGGGCTATTAGTCTCAAAACGGCATTTTGCGTCGTTTCACTTTCTGCGTTGGTTCACTTTTCAGACTGTTGCCACTAAATATTATCCACACATATTATATTTAAAGAAACTAAATAATGAAGAATCTGCATGAATACATGACTGTTACCCGCCATTGTGAAAAAACAATGGTACCTAGACCCATCAAATTTTGATTAACGTAATCCTCCAACCGAACATGGGCACTTGGAAGCCCGAATTTGGAATTTCTATTTGTAATATTATCTATTTCAAATTTTGTAAAATTTTAACGAATTTTTTATTAGCAAAACTCAATGATTTCAAAGGGAGCAATGGCAACACTGTACGAAAAAGGCATTTTTATCTCCAGCGAGCGAGACTGTGTATCGGAAATTCCAAAGATATGGTGTTTTGACCTTTTTGTGATATTGCCGTTAAATTGAATTTTATGTGGTTTAAGTGCGAAGAACTTGTTATTCAATAAATAAAGGTAACACGCAAAACGTTAAAAAAAAAAAAAAAATCTTTTGGGCGTAGTATAAAATCTAAGTATGTCACAATCTTCACATAAAATAGTTTTTTTTTTTTTAATCTCTTCTTACTTTTACCTTTTGAAAATTCAATCCATGCGTATTTTCATATATTTATTGTCTCTAACTAACATTATCTCTGTAACTTTCCTAAAAACAATCATGCAAAACTGTTTATATAATTAAAATTATATATAATTAAAATATAATATAAAAATTACAAGGAAATACGCAATAAATCTCATATTTTCAAGAGAAAACAGCCAGCAGTCCAGTATCCAAAGCAACGAATGAAAAACTGTTGCCAAAACTACATTTCTAAAAGAATGAAACTATCATCGGAAAGCAATAACGAATCAAAATTGTGCTTTGTGGATGACATAATTCAAAATATACAACCTTTTTGCCATTAGCTAATCAAGAAAGGAAAAGAAAGAAAAAAGGGGAAAAAAAAGAAAATTCCTTTCTGTTGTGTCTCGCGAGACACATGCGGGTAAGAATAAGAAGACTGCGACTTGCATGTTGCGAGTCCAAAAATCAAAAAAAGAAAAATAATAATAATAAGCAGCATGAAATAAGTAATATTTTATCTCGTATTTTCAAGTCAGCAGTCCAGTATACAAAACACTGAATGAAAACCTGTTGCCAAAACCACATTTCTAAAAGAATGAAATTATTCAAAATGATGCGATTTCATCAAAAAGATAAAATTAAAAAACATCTGGTTCGAATTTTGAAAAAAATTGCTTCGAGGTGCACTGGCTCTTGTTTAGATGCACCTATGTACCAAATTTCGTAGCCCTGGGTCTATTAGCTTACGCGCAGCACGAACGAAAGACACACAGACAGACTCTTCCTTTTATTACATGTAGAGATTATAGGATTATAGCACCTACTCTTTGAGAGCTTTGGCGTTAATTCAACTACTACTCTTAGCTCTATGGATTCTAATTATTAGGTGCCTCTTGTAACAGCTTTAAATAATATTAAAATCTTGTAGATTAAATAATTTAAATAGATGAACATTAAGGTATTTGTGAATGGCAATATTTGAAACCAGACTCGAGTGCCTCGTGCGACTCTCGCACGAAGAATGTAATTTATTTTAAAATGATAGAATGTGTTTTCTCTTCTTGTTTGTATGTCGCCATTTTTTTGAGTGTTAAATAAAAGTTATTGCTGTGTTCCATCATTGGAGTTGCTTCATTTCGCCAAAGAAGTATTACACTCTGATTTCCTTTACCGAATTATCTAGATGGAAGTAATACTTCTATGCAGACTATAACTCAACAGCATTTAATTTAAAGCCTTAATGTGTCTCCACTTGGGAATTAAAAAAAATTATACAGATACCAGTCTATTCGACTGTACTGAAAATCACACTTCAGTATTACTTTAAAGGAAACCACAGTTCTAATTGTAACTGAGTTTAGCATGCTAAGCTTTCAACTTTTTTCTTGCCGACTTCTTCTTCTGGCCAGGATTAAACAGCATTATTTAGCAGCCATTTTTTATTAACGGCTCCAGCCTGTTCCGCCACATTAAGGTCCAGACTCCGCTGACGTGCTTCAGATAAATGTCAGCTTCAGACAGGATCTGACGTCAGACATCAGACAAATGTAGGCAACTTCTAAGTTCCAGCTAACTTACTTCCCTCATACTCGTCACAAAAATCTGCTTAACCGTCTAGAAGGAACAAGCTGGGTGACTAAGTCAGAAGTCACAAAATTGCAAATCGTCACTTTACTGTATTTAATTTGCCGAAGGAATTTTCGCACAAACAGTTGATAAGTTTCAGTCTAAAAACAGTTTATTAATATTCTCATGAAAGGTTATTACATTAGAAGTTTAATCTGGTAATCGTACAAAAAATTCATCAAACCGTAACTATTTTTCATTTTAATTAATGTAAATATTATTATTATTATTGACTGTGAGCCTATGTTGAGGCCTGCCAATGTTTCCTAGAACACAAATTCTTTGAGATTCTATGAATAAGTTCTCCTGTTTGAAATACCACTATATGTATTATTTTATGAATTTAATGAGACTATTCAATTAAGTATGTAAAGAAAATTGGATTAATTTAAAAGCGGTTTAAAGTCTCCGTGAGTTCATTTGAACGAAACGTGTTTATCGTCTCTCATTAATCAACTTGGTTTAAGGTTTCAACACAATTTTCCCTAGACAAGTTCTGTTAGGAGCATTGGGCAAAGGTGGTTAATAACATTTTTATTGCTTTGGTTTTAATCAATACAAAATTCCTTCTTTTTTATTGTTATCTTTGAAATGTAAACTTTGTTTTAAATATAGTATTTCTCTTTTATTACTGTTTTACTAATTTAGCTTGTTTCACGGTAACGATAGGTTGGCCTTCAAATATTTAAGAAATTTTCTAAATTATTTTATTTTTAATTTCGTATTTACGTTCATACGTAAATTAATTCATACGCAAATACGTGATAAATTCATACGTAAATACGTAATTTAATTTCGTATTTACGTTCATACGTTCATACGTAAACATTTCGCTCTTCGGTTTGTGTACCGCTTCTAAATGTGCTCCGACACAAATGTGTCTGTCAGTTTTTGTCGTGCGGGAAGTCAAACTCTCTGTAACGAGTGCAAAACTTTCTTAAATGTAAGTGTAGGAACTAGGAACACGTATGAAAAGTTAGATTTTGCATTTTATGCAACATTTTTTTAAATTTGAAAATATGAAAGCATTAACCGTTGAGTCATTTAAAACATTCTTGTAAGTGACTTAGGTGAGCAGGTCACTTTGTGCAGGTTCCAGGATGTAGTCCGATCCTGTGTGTAATAGCTGAATACGTTAATAGTAATTATGGTTAGTAGAGTGATAATTCGAGTGCAATATGCACTCTATGCAGAGAAAAATCCTAAGTCAGACACTTTGTAGAGACATTAGATATTTTTTGGAAGCGGAAGTAAAAAATGAACAACACTTTCGCCGGGAATAGAACCACGGACCTCTGGAATACGCGCCCAGCGTGCTGACCACTACACTACGAAGGCATGCTAAGAAAGCGGGAGAAATACCTGATAACTTCCGATGAGTTAGTAAGATGTGGAACACTCGCTACATAACCACCGAAGATAGGCTGAAAGTAAAGAGTTAACTAAAAACGCCTCTGGATTGGTCGGAGGGGAGGGAAGAATTGTACAGAATTGGGAATCATATAAAATTTAGAAAAAGGTAGTAACTATTAAGCCAATTAATAGCGAAAATAAAGGGGAAGTTAAAAACAGAAAGCACAAAATAGACTATTTAAGCAACAAAACAAAAGTAACTTAATCTAAGTGAAGGAGCGACGTGTAAAACCTTGTGTGTATATATATGTATGTAAATATAAAATGACTGTTTGTTAGGATTGACAATACCAGTTTTATAAATAAGAATACCGTTAGAAGTTTAGAAAAATTTAGTGACAGGCAATAGGCAATGTTGGTGCATATATTTTTCTGTAGAATATTATTAGGCGTTTCTGTAGAATATTAATTTTTTCTATAACAGAAAAAATTCGAAATTAAATAAACAATTCAACGTCTTTACGGTAGATCGTGTTGTAATTGGCTTGCAATATTGGTTTTTAAATGTTTTGATTGTAAAGCTGTTGGAAGGATAGATTATTTTCATTTTTGCTTCTGTTAGGTTACATCTCCTTCGTTAGCTGTGTAATTATAAGTGACGATGAAAACCATTAATTCAAAATGACAGACATCAGAAATATAACATACATATATATATAATATTTACAAAAGCGTTTTTGGTTATATTAATTAAAAGTTTACCTTAGGTAATATATAATATTGCTTAACATGAGTTTCGTGATGAAGTTTATAATAAGTTGTTTCTTAACCAGATACAAACATATAAATGAGCAACAAATTTCCTACTGAAGGATTTAGTAACTGATCATTTTACATTGTACTGCATTTTCACAGGTGTTCCGATGGGGGATTTTTAAAAATCTATCTTCAGGGTCAAGAGGAGAGACAGGCACTAGACGAGTTTGATCTCAGCCTCTGTGGGGTCACAGTTCCACCACCAGTTCTGTCAGACGGCCCTCGGTTGGCCATGATTTTCAGTAGTGGAGCTACCACGGGAAAAGGTTTCAAGGCTCGATACGTTTTCGAAACAGGTGCGTAAATTATATTATTTTGCTTCTGCCGGTCTTTTTTTCCACAAGATTTCTTTAAACAATTACCGTAGTAGCAGTTATTTAGGAAAGAAGCAGCGTTAGTAAGAACTTGTTTGCTCTGTTATATAAACCTTCGAGACGAAAGTAATGTTTAAAATATAGGTATTTCCAAAACCTCTGTTGCTAAAATCGATCAAAACAAAACGAGAATCAAAAAACGATGGTACATGACATGGGAGGATTTTTGTCTTCTGTTAATTAAATTTAAAATATTTACATTTGATCATTTTATATTCGAAGTGAATGCTGTTGGATTATATTTGAATCTTAAGCAAATTCTGAATATATCCGGGTGTAAATTCGATCGAACATGTAAACAGTCATAAAAAAAAATGGAGCTTGTGCCATGCGATGACGCTTCCTAAACAATACGTAATTTACTCATAGTTTGATCCTCGCGAATAACTTCCCTGTGTAGTAAATAAAATACAATACATTCTTCGTTTTAAATATCTGCAACTCGTTCGGTAATATTTTCTTTTAACTGATCTTGTGATACATTTTGATATTCGAAAAATAGATTAGGATTTTTTTCCAAATCGTCTCCTAAGTCAACAGCATATTTGTTCTGTGACTTCCCCATTATCATTTTCAATTTGGTGTGTCATGTTTCTAAGGGATTCTAACATATTAGCGAGAATGTTCGTACGTTATATTTGAATCGAAATGTTTGATTATTTCATTTTCAGTTGACTCGAAGTTTTCGTAACTTGTATTTTCCAAGACCAAACTTTTCGTACTCGAATTTTCCAAGACCAAAAATTTTGTCATTTGTCCGGAAAGGAAAAATTATCTCATATTGGTTTGTGTGATCATGGCAAAGCCTCGAGGGCTATCTTCCTAAGGGAAGGGATGCCTTTGTGGAGAACTTTCTAAGGGAAACTGGCTCGCATGCACGTTACACAGGGAGAACCATGAAAACGCCAGCTAGTTCGCGGGATTAGAAACTCGAACCGAACTATCAGTGTTCAGCGACTTTATCGCTCAGCCGCTGGTGGGCCGCAGTTTTCCCCCATAAACCTACCGGAAAAGGCGTTATCGTCCTTATAGGTACCAGCCAAAAATAGTTTCTACTGCAAAAAGGTTTCTGTTTAGGTATTTAATTTGCACCCAGTAATCTTCGGAAATATTCCTTTTTAAATATTACTTCAAACAATACCCACTTACTTATAATCAGACTATGTAAAGATGAGTGAGATCTGTACGAGATGAGTTTCTTTCAGAAGAAATTATGTAACACGTAAGCAACTGAAACTGTTGAAAAACGTGTTATTGAAAACCTAAATCTGTAGGCTGCTATTGTGTAACTTTTATTATTCATAAGTTCTGAGGAATATACTAAGAAGAAATTATATTGTAAATTTGAATGCTTTACCCAATGCATTTTTTGCAACTTCAGTCCTTCCTTATGTTCAATTTAGTATCTAAAAGCGAATAATATGCTCTTTTCCTCTATTTTTTAGACTATAAAGTTCCTGGTACGCCTTCTCCTGATGGTACTTGTCACTTCACCTATATGAGCACGATTTCTCCTCGTGGTGAGTTTAATTCGCCTCGCTACCCGGCCAACTACCCATCAAATACCACATGCCAATACATCTTCCAAGGTGAGCCCGGGATGCAGATCAAAATAGTCTTTAATTACTTCAAAACCAAAACGAAGCATGATCCAGCCAGTACAGGCTACAAGTAAGTGAGAATCATCTTCAAAAATGTCATTTTCTTTCAGCATATTTTACAATTCCACATACATAACTGCTGCACATAAATGCAAAAGATGGGTTCAGGTTAAATGTGCGACACTGTAGTGTTAAAACATATCTAATAATATTACGGTTGCTATTGCAGGAAAATGTATAGGTGTCAGATAATGAAACTGAAACATTTACATCTACAATGTATTAATTACATTATCGTTATTACCGTTACATGACTTGTTAAATCACTAAATTCTGTATACATTCTACTGGCAAAACAGTGATCATTGCAGATCATGATGACAAAGGAGGTAAATGTTTTCTAAATCTATCCTTTTTGCATACCCTGACCAGATTCACCAATATTAAGATTAGGAGAATTTTTAGTATTAGGAAGGTGTTCAACTTACTTTCATGATCTTCAAACCGCCGTATCACCATTTTTGCAACGTAAACTTGTCCTGATGCATAGCACTGCCTTCAGGATCAAAGTCTGAACAATAGCGTTGAGCTAATACATCAATGGATATTAAGCGACATGACCGTCAAGAATAATCAGTATTGTCAAAGATTTCCATGACATATTGCAGTCCAAATCATCACCAGTTCACATTTATGCTTTCACATTCCACATATAAGTTTTGTCTCAATGTGGGAATGGACTTTTCGTTGCTCCTAATTTTACTTTATGTGTTTCATAACTATAAGATCTCAGAGAATGAACGGTGATAATCTCTATGATGATTTCATAAGATCAGTATGAATCATATATTATGTGAAATGGATTGAAACGGCTTTTATTTAATTCTGTAGTTCAAATTGATCACGAACAAAATGAATACGTTTCACTAGGTGCACTATTAACAACAGGATAAACACTATAGCGATTTCTAGTCTCGACTCTTACTTTGGCAAAACATCTGGTGTAACTCTTGCAACATATTGTGTAACCTTCTTGTGAGGCAGTAAAAATTAACAGCTCTTTCACTGTAAATATCATTTTTACAAATTCGCATATTAAGAAGTCTAAGGTGAGTTAAAAGCTTCTTGCAAGCCGTGTAATATATCTATTTCTAACAGTCCACGGCTGTTAGAAATAGATATATTACACACATGCACGCACATTGAATTTCACATGCACGCACACTGAATTTCACATGCACGCACTTTAAAATCTCTCATGATTCTCAAATCGGACCAATGCTCCAGATTATTTAAAAGATAGTTTGCACTTCTAATCAATGTCTTCCATTGTCTTCTAATTCCAGTTGCTCGATATAAGGAAACAAAACAATCTTTAATATAGCCAAGTATGGATTGAATTTGACATTAATTTGAAGAAAAAAAGCTTAAATTTTTGTTATTCATTAAGTCACACCTCAGAGTTGATGACCTCAGAAAAATCTCGAATATGTACATAAGTCATACGCTGATTTTCAGCAGTCTAAATTGGCATCCATTGACATAATAAAAACACATACACGCAAACGTTTTACATGACTAAATTAAAAAAAAAAAAAAGATTTTTATATCCTTTTCAGCTAATACAGTTTCATAGAAATATGAAATACGATCATTCCTTCTTAGGAGCCTTTTTATTTGACATTAATTATCGCCTATTGGAAATTTTAATGTAACTAAGTCACCAACTGCTGGTTCTTCTCATAAAACTCAAGCACATATGAAGGAAGATAGGAGGATATATATATTTGCATTCAAGTAACTTCATAAATTCAACTACAAATTTTAATATACTATAGGGACTTTTGGCTAGGCCTAGCGACGATAGAATGCTCTGCTAATTGAGTACAAATGCTGATGGTCATATAACAGGCGGTACAGCAACTCAGCTGGTTAAAGTAAGTAATATACAGGGTGGTTATAATTAAAGTTCCACTTTGAAATGGTCGTAAAAGGAAAACTGCTAGACCAAATGTTATCAAACTTGGTAACCATGTAAAAGAGTTCATGGGAATTTATTTCCCTCGAAAAAAAGTTCAATCACTCAACACCAGAGGGAAAATGGTGCTGTATGCAATTTTGTTAAACGAAATAAGACATGAAGACATCGGTTCAAAACGTGTTTAATCGTTTCTGAAACATGTTCAATGTGGCGTCCACCATTTTCTAAAAGCAAGTTAAATCGTATCACTGCATTCTGAACAGCAGCTCTTAGTATATCAGGAAGAATGTTACGGACATGTCGGTGTATCGCATCTTTCAATTCCGCCAAACTGTTTGGATTATCCCCATAGTGCTTTTGAGATAACCCCATAGCCCAAAGTCTCAGGAGTTCAGGTGGGTAACCGGGATGACCAAGAAGTAAGGAGGTGACGGCCTATAATCCGTTATTTCGTGAAATGTTGCCTAAATAACTGTGTGACGCATGTACCAATGTGAGATGTGGCCCCGTCCTGCCTAAAAATCGTGGTGTCTAAAATGCCACATTGCTGCAATTCAAGTATCACGAAACGTCTTAAGAGACGTGCTAAGAGAGCTGCAGTCTCAATGCACGCAACAGGACCAGCTGTTGACTGCTCTTCAAAGAAAAATGGTCCAATTATGAAAGTAGCTGTCATACCACACTAAACGGTGACTTTAGGAGAATGCAATTGAGCTGGGTAGATAACATGAGTGATTTGTAAGAAAACGATTTCCGGAATGCGCACACTTTTGCGATGATTTGCGATCTCACATTTTTTAATCTATAATTTGTGGTTTTTTACGGACGAATATCCCCGCTACACGGATGGCGCACTCGTCTTTTATCGCCTTTAAATGGTAGTTTTGTTTAGGTCAATGTTTATTAAGGGTATACAACATGTTAAACCCGTGTAACAAAAGGTTAAGTTTAGATTCCGACCCATATTTCGTTTAATAATATTGATTACAGCGCCATTTTCCCTCCCCCTTGGCGGTGAGTTTTTTAACTTTTTTTTTCGCGGAAAACAAATTCCTATGACCTCTTTTATACGATTACCAAGTCTGATAAGATTTGGTCCAGTAGTTTTCAGTATATGACCATTTCAAAGTGGAACTTTAATTATAACCACCCTGTGCATTTGCTGTGCTTTAACAATTTAATAGGTATTACCGTATTTGACGTCATATAAGACGCACTCTTATTTAGACGGCCACACACAAGGAAAAAACGTTTCAATAGCGTGGTTTTTTTTAGTTCTCACGTTTCGTAAAAGCCAAATAAACAATTATTGACTGCAATTACCTTCACGTATAAGACTGTATCCTTCACGTATAAGGTAACGTATCAGGTATCATGTACCTTCACGTATCAGGTAACATTTTTGAGAGCAAATCTTATATGCCGTCAAATACGGTATTCCTCTTCTAAAAGATTATAAATTTTGTCCGCGCAAATCTTTCTTATTCCTATTACATATTTTGGTATAGCAAGTAATTTTAGAAGGGGACATGCAGGTAAGTTTGGGTATATTTGAACACCGCTAATACTCAACAAGCAACAAAGGATATAAAATTCCTTTAAAGGTTAACCAAACACTATATGTACTAAAATACAATTAAAAACGTGGAATCGTTTTATTTAGAATTATAAGAAAGAACAAAGAGCTGAATGAGAAACAAGCACTAACAGCACTTTTTTCAGTCTCCATTTGGCACAATGCTATTCGTAACATTAGAAGCAAGTTTTTGTTGCCTTTTTTGTTGTTCGGAATGTTCTATTTTTAATCAAAAGGGTAAACATATAGGGCGCATAGTCGTTTCGACAAGGAATTCTGCAGTAATGTCATTTTACTTACGGTTATTTAAATATTTACGTTTGATTTACTATATTAGTATTCTTTGCTTTGCAGTGAAGTTTGCACGGAAGACTGGTTGGAGATCTATGAAGTCCATCCGAGTGGACGGGAAAACAAAGTGGGGCGTTATTGTTCTAAGTCCACCCCTGGCCCAATCGTCTCTGATAAGGGAGTGCACACTATGAAAGTTGTCCTACACACAGATGCAGAAGGAGTAGCTAGTGGTTTTACAGCGACTTACAATTTCATCAGCCCTACTCAAAAATTCGAAGGTACTTTTAGTTGTGACTTAATATACAGTTTTATACAACGTATATCAGTTGCGCATGTTATTAATTTTTTTAAGTTATAAAATATTCTTTTATTTCTTCTTTTATTTATCCATTGATATTGATAAATACGTAGCTTTGACTGTACAGTCTAATCATCTTCGTTTAAATTGCTCAACTAAAAACAATTACGTATAAAAGTGAAACTATACAGATCAGTAAGTATTCTGAAGTAAGGAAACATAAAATGTCACCTGTATCCTCTATGGTAGGGGTCTTCAACCTTTCACGCCCGAGAGCCACATCAACAAATTTACAAAGATCCGCGGGCCACGCGTCTGTCAAAAAAATACTGTATTCGGACAATTTATGTAAAAAAGGGAGGTTTGTTTTGGAAGACTACAATTGATTCTAAGCGAAGAGATAATGTTACAGATTTGTGTATATATACACTGGTTCCAAAAAGTCAACTGGAAATCGATTAAAATGTTTTAAATCTTTTTTTAACTATGAAAAAAATATAAAGATGATTGTACAGAACGATGTTACAAAATGCATTTGCAATAAAAAAATTATAATACTGGCAGGAGATGGTAGTTACTTTAGTTTTAATGTGAAATTTGACGTTGTTTTACTTGATTAAAGCTTCAATATCCGGTTAAATCTGCGTTGTTGCAATTCGTAAAGATTCCCCCAAATGTTTGTCTATCAGCCGTGTTCTTGATTTTGATTTTGATTTTAGGATTTTCATTTTACAAAAAAGCTGTTCACGTATGTAGATACTGCCGAAGATAGAAGGCATGAAGAGTGTATGTTTACGAATTCCTGGATACTTGTCTTCGGTCACATACTTTGAATAAAAATCAATTAATGTAGGATTTTCAAGAAACTTGCAAAGTCACACTGTAAATCTATAAATTCTAACTGAAGTAGAGTTGGAACAATATTACATAAGATAAATTACATAAGAAAAAGTGAAATTTTTGAAAAACTCGTTATTTTCCGAAAACGTTATCTCAAATATCAGGCATGTCAATAAAATGTTTTAAATATCAAGAATAAGAGAAAAAAAAGTTCTTTTACGACAAGAAGCTGACAAGGCAATTTTTCTTGAAATTAAAATTTCTTAAAATTCTTCGAATTCAAATATGGGGCCACCAAAATACCTTCAGCGGGCCACGGGTTGAAGACCCCTACTCCATGGGATTGCATCCACGAATCTTTTACTTGATAACTGGATGGAAGCACATATATCATGAATGCTTGCACGAAGACACAAGATAGTTCTTTACAAATTACTCCAGTAATAGTATATACTAACGAAATCTTAAGCACGTTCACAAAACAAAACTTCTAAGGCTATATTTTAAATAAAAATGGATGGACAATTAAAATATAAATATGTTGCCAAATCGAAAATGCAAATAACGTTAGAATAATGTGAAATGCTTCATTTCCTAAGAAACTTGTTTCTCTATGTAGCATTAAAGTTTTTCTCTTACCTTGTAAGATCGTATCTTCATATCTAACATAAAGTTAAAATGATCTTACGAGATCACCTGGCGACTTCTCGCATAAGCATAAAAGAATACAAGCACAGAAGAACAGTAAAATAAACCCTTTATTATACAGCGAACTTTTAATATAAAATGCACGCACTTCGTGCTTACAAAAACACCGACAACTTGCTGTGGAACTTGAGAATAGTTCACAATAAATTCAAAGAGTAGTGCTAGACTAACAATTTAATTTAAGGCTAGCTAGGTTGACTCGACAATCTAAAATAGCCAAAAGGCGTACCAGAAACTCCGCGTGACAATAAGGACAACTAGTAACGTGATTTGGCTAGCGAAATCATGCTCTGAATACACTACAGGATCCGTCCGTTTAAATACTCACTTCCCTTAACTTTAAATTTGCGATTTGGTGAGGAAATGCGAGGGGAAGTTGAGGAGTTCAGAGAAGATAACAAAAATTTAAATAATTGGTTAATTTAACTAAGGGAAAAACCTACAACCTAAAGCAGAACTGTTATAGTAATTTAGTACGAAGCTGGTTCCAGTGAATGAATGTATTACATCAAAGTGTACTTTAAATCTACTTTATATCTTAAAAGAGTAAAACTACACGTTTGATGTAAAAGATAATGAGAATGTATTTTCAGTTATTCTAAAACTTAAATAACTGACAACGTTACAGAATACCAGTACAAAAATTAACATATTCTGTAACAAAGTTTAATCGTGATTTCTGAGACAACAACAGTACACAAGCATTTTCATTCCAGTATTTTCGCATTTTGTTAATATTATACAGCAGACAAAACTACAGATCTTTACAGTATTTAAGTGAAATTTCTCATCAGAATGTGGATTCAACATCAGCGGGAAGACAGCTGGGGTGATCACCAGTCCAGGTTTCCCTGAGAAGTACAAGGACAGACGTCAAGTATGCCACTGGTACATAAGTGTGAAACCCAATTCAAAGCTACTACTCCTGTTTACTTTCTTTAGACTGGAAGGAGATCCGCTAGGTAAATAGTGTAGTCAATTTTTGAAAATATTTCGTTTATTTGATTACAATTTATGCTTTATGATTTTTGGAGTAATAATGCGTTATTTCATTTAATGCAGTTTATGTAATAATTTTAAGTTTTCTATCATTTTACTTTACAATTGAAATCATTATTTCTAAGAATGTTAGAATATATAGAGTATAAGCCTCCTCCATATGTTCCGCGCAATGAAAATGAAACCATGACGTCACAGTATGACATCACGGCTTATCATGGCCGCTGCCGTAGGTAGACATCTGGTTAGTTTTGTTTATATTCTGATCTGTTATATTCTGATTCTGCTAGCTATATACTTATATTATTGAACGTTTATAAGTCTCCCGCTCTAATTTTATTACTTAACGTAATTGGTTTTCTACTTAGTATATAGAATTATAATTTACAAGGATTGCAAATAACAGTTTCAAATTTAGTAAAATGTATAGGTATACTGCGTAAAAGAAAAAAGGGGGGACAATTCTATATCTCCCGTCCTACTGGGCCGATTGACGAAATTCAACTTCCATTTTTCATGTCTCGAAAGTGCGACTTAGGATATATATTAGATTTATAGACAGTCACGTGGAAAAGTTTAAGACCAGTAGCCGTTTTCCTGTATTTTAACAGATTTTGCGTTTTCGCCGGACCATTGTCTCATGCTGGGCATTGTTCATGCATTGATCTCATGTGATCGCATCAAACGTGGTCTATCTAGGTGGTTTGTTGTTATTGGATTTTTGCGTACACAGTACTATTGTATAATCTTGTAAAGGTGAAGAAACCTTCACTTACTTTTGAAAATGGGCAAAAATAGTGGCCCTTCATGAAGTTGGTTTATCTGAACGTGAAATAAGTTTTAAGGTCAGCAAGACAGAAAAAACAGGAGTAATTTGGGAAATTAAGAGAAACCTGTTAAGCGGCTGTCGGATGAAAAAAAAAAAAGGACTCGCACTCGATATCCAACAACCTCCTGCAATAAAATTAGAGCTGCACTGGCTCCTTCAACGTCAGTTCGAGTACTATTTCAAGACGTCTGACTAAAGATCATAGTTTATTTTCCTAATAAACCTGCAAGGAAACCTTGACTTACTCAGAGTATGAAAAAGGAACAACTGACTTTCGCCAGACAATATCGGAATTAGTCCCAACAAAGTAGTACAGTCTTTAGTAGAGTACAGTGTTATTTTTCGATGAGTCAACAAGTGCGCAGCTATTTTTTACACGTGCTAAATGTATTCGCCGCCCATTTGGAAAAAGATATGATGACAGATATTCGATGCCAACAGTAAAACACCCTTCAAGCAATGGTGATATGGGGTGCCATGTCTGCGTCTGGTAGTGCAGCTGTATATTTCGTGCCACCTAAAACCATGATGAACAGCAGTCGGTACCTTAATTTGTTATCTGACAAGTTAAAGCTTCACTTGGATGTTCACAGATGTTCAATTTTCATGCATGATGGTGCTCGGTATCACAGGGCAAGTAATGTTAAGGACTACCTGAGGACTACTCAAATCCAAGTGCTTGATTGACCATGTAACAGTCCAGATTTTAATCCCATAGAGAATCTGTGGTGTAATGTGAAAAATAAAGTCTCGGAGAAGCTACGATCTAGTGCTACAGAACTTGTTGAAGCGTGTGTGTGGTGTACAGAGATTTCTCAAGCTTCACTTCCAGTCTCTTGCTCATAGCATGCCTGAAAGGATTGCAGCAGGGATAAAAAATAAAGAAGGTCCGATAAAATATTGAATATACTTCAATAATCTTGTAACTCTATTTTTTTCATTTATAACAAATGTTTTTATTGCGGAATTCCAATAAATTTGATTTTTTCATGTGTAGTCTTAAACTTTTGCACACGACTGTACAACACTGTTCCAATACAGGTATTTTGACCCAAAATCAGACTTTTTCTGAAAGGAAATGCCAATTGTTTTCCATATTTCGATTCTACGACTGAAATAATGTCTACATATTAAATTTTATAAAATTTGGTGAGAAATTTACGGAGAAAATCAAAAATTTATCTTGCCAGATTTTTTTCAGTTTGCGCTAAGAATAAATTACTTGGCGAACTTTTTAATTTATAGCAACCTATTTTCTATTCCCTTTTTTCATTGCAGACGAGCGGGGAAAAAGTGATCGTTCATATTTTCAATTAATATTAACAAAGTGCGTAAGCAACATTTGGCGTCATATCGCTCAAAAAGAAGACGCCAAATTTCTAAAGGCTCCAATATGTAAATTCGTGTATATGTTAGAAAATTTTCAATAAAAACTTTAATTTTTTTGCAGGTGTGCCTAGAAATATATCTACTTTAAGTTGATGTTAAAAATTTTATAGGTTATAATACAAAACATTTTCGAAAAATTTATAAAAGATATTTAAAAATACAAACTTAAAAATTAAATCATAAAAAATGTGCGAATTACATTTGGATTAAGCCTAAATTTCGAATTCTGAAAGAAGGAATCAAGTAAGTTTAATAAAAAAAGGAGATATTAATATATCAAATTCGAAACTAGCAACAATTTTTACATAACTTAGCAGTTTGGAATAAATTAAGTCGTAGAACCGAAATACGGAAAAAAAAAAAAAAAAAAGGCAGGTCTTTTCAGAAAAGGTCCGATTTCGTGTCAAAATACCTATATTAGAACAATGCTATATATAAATCTAATACATATGCTAAGTCGCGCTTTCGAGACATGAAAAACGCAAGTTGAACTTTGTCAATCGGCCCAGTAGAACGGGAGATAAAGACCCACCCACCTTTACTTTTTTTTCGCAGTGTACATAAAAATAAGTAAACAGTGACTATAAGACTAATATGTACATGGTAAAACTTGGAAGACCAGTGAAAGTTTCAATATATTTATGCAATATGCCTAGTCACTTTCTGAGCCTGCGGACTCATTCGATATTCGCTTTCATGTATTTTTATTTAATAATATGTTTAGAAGTCTTATCGTCTTATCCGTACGCTACATGGCGGCCATGATAAATCGCGAAGTCATGTTGTTGACATTTCCTTGGCTTCATTTCAGTGAGGTCATGCTTACTTCATCTGTTCTAATTTCCTTGATTATTTCATTAAAGGTGCCATAATTGTGTCTTGTTGTCATTCTAAACACCTGATTTTAAATATAAGATTTTATACTTTAGCTTAATTGTTTCGGATGTTAAATTGAAATCGACATGCCTAGATCAAACATTAGTTCCGTTTTAGTCTTGTGATTTTTATATTTTAATGTTTTGAAACTTTAAAAGTTCAGTTCTTTGAGATACTAGAATCTTTCAAACCGCATATTTTCCTTACACCCGTTCAATTTCGATAAATTATCGTAACTACCGACTAACTAGCGGCGTATTAATAGATTGTGGATTAAACAAGTCGTATTTTATAAAAATAAATTAATTAAATTAAAAATTAAATTTTAAAATGTCTGAAAATTTCATATTTTATATTACGCCCAAAGGGGCTTTTATTAACGTTTTGCGTGTTAACTATATTTATCAAATATCATGTTCTTCGCACTTAAGCCATAAAATTCAATTCTACAGCAATATTGCAAAATAATTTAAAAAGAGCATATATTTAGAATTTCCGATACACAGTCTCGCGCGCTGGAGATAAAAATGGTATTTTTTCAACTTAAATGTTATAACATAAATTAATTCAAGTAGCAAATAGAATAGTGCTGGATTAGCATGTTAAGTTAAGACTAGCTTAGGTTGACTCAACACAACCTAACAGGCGTGACAAATTAAGGGGAGTACTAGCATGACAAATTAAGCGTGACAAATTAAGGGGAGTATAAATTAAGGGGAGTACTAGCGAAACAGCGAGATAAGCAACTAAACGTACGCTGGCTAGCAACAACACATACTGAATAAACTCAGACATTCACCCGTTTAAATACACACTTCGCTTAACTTTAAATTTACATCCTGGCGAGTAAATGCGAGGGGAAGTTGAGAAGTTCAGGAAATATAACAAAAGTTTGAATAATATGTTAATTTTAACCAAAGGAAACCCTATATCATTATCAAAGGCTATATTTACTGCTTCTGTGGTGACTCTTCTGCTAAGAGGAATATATCTAACTTTTTCAACCATTTTCCCCAAATCTTTGCATTTACGACCACAATTTTCTTTTTCCGTAGAATAAATCATTACCAAAAAGATTCACCGTAACTATTATTTTCGGAAGCCCTTTCCCAAATTCTTGATACGGTCATTCTTTATCACAACTGTTTCGGAAGCAACCTTCCTGCAACTTTTCCTTTTTCTTCTGATGCATCAAGAAATGAGCAATCGCAACTCGATCTTTGCTCAAAAATTAACTTTTTCTCTTCCATGTACGAAGTAAAGAAAATATTGTAATAACGAAACATTCCAACATTCCGAGTTTCATATTTCAACGAAAATATCCATGTTGACCGCTATCG